AAAATTACTTTTTTAATTCGATTTTTGTAAACAACATAAAAAGACGAGGATTCTCTAAAAAGTCAGATCTCTATCATCAAAGCCCTTAAAGTAATGCGATTTTCAACATTTGAAGAATTTTTTATCCAAAATATTGAAAATCGCTGAAAGCGACCTTTTTTTAATATGGCAACCAAAAAACACGAATTTTGGTTTTAGAGTTGTATGAGGTTAAGATCCTTATTGTAATATGTATATTAGGGTGCAAAAAAATTTTTTTTCGCTCTTACCCTCTCAAATGTTTTTATTTAATATAAAAAAAATCCTCACCAAATATGGGCGTTCCAGCTCAACTCTAAGAGGTCGCTATTTTTATTTTAGTTTCCCATTGAATTAACATGGGAAAAAATTAATTTATGTTTGGAATTTTATACCTCTGTATCAAAGTAACTTATGGCAATGATCATAGCAGTTTCTTATATAAAATTCAACGCTCTACAAGAAAGGTCTCTTATTATTTTTCGATAAATTGATTTCTTCTAGAGTTATTCGAGGTCAAAGCTTTCCCCCTTTCACCTCCCGTCTGCTAATTGTACCAGAAAATTTAATTTTAATCAAACTTTGACCTCGAATAACTCTAGAAGAAATAAATTTATCGAAAAATAATAAGAGACCTTTTTTGTAGAGCGTTAAATTTTATATAAGAAACTGCAATGATCATTGCCATAAGTTACTTTCATACAGAGGTATAAAATTCCAAACATAAATTAATTTTTTCCCATGTTAATTCAATGGGAAACTAAAATAAAAATAGCGACCTCTTAGAGTTAAGCTGGAACGCCCATATTTGGTGAGGATTTTTTTTATATTAAATAAAAACATTTGAGAGGGTAAGAGCGAAAAAAATTTTTTTTTGAAGCACCCTAATGTATATACAAAGATTGATAATGGACATACAGTAATGGCATGTTTTTTGGATCTTCAAAAATCCCAAGAAACTGATCAACGCTTAACAATCAACAACGTTACACTTAAGGAGATGACTACTGCAAAATACCTAGGTTTGATATTAGACAACAAATTACTATTTTACAAACATGTAGAAAGCATACGGAGCAAAATAAATAAATTGATCTATCCCCTGTATCATTCAGCCAAATTCTTCAATCAAGAAACCAAATTCAAAATATACTCTGCCTATGCTTACTCAGTCATGTCATACTTAGCACCATTTTGGGGACAAACCAGAAAACAGGATATCGAAAAACTACAAGTTATCCAGAACAGATTCGTAAAAGTGTTGTTTTGTAAACCTATGAGTTATGGATCTAGTGAGCTATATAGCGAACTAAACCTTCTTAAAGTGTGTGATATTGTCAAATTAGAAAGTTTTAAACTTGTACATAAAATTTAAATAATATATTAGAGACTGACATATCATTGGTACACAACTGTGATATTTACCATTACAATCCTCGTACAAATAAAAACTTTTATATTTTTCCAAGTACAAGAAACATTGAAAAGAAGAGAGTAACTACTACGGCTGTGAAATAGTACAATGAATCAAATAGTATTAAATAAATAACACACTATAATTTCTTATATATATATATATATATATATATATATATATATATATATATATATATATATATATATATATATATATATATATATATATATATATATATATATATATATAGGTAATTTATTTTATCTACTCCTACATTGACGAGTCGTGACTTTATGGCATTTTAGTCACGGGCTGAAGTTAATAACAGTGGCTTTTGGACATTTTAGTCACGGGCTGAAGTTAGCTTTATTATAAATTGCGAAAAAGTAAGGTTAAATTTGTTAAATGTCAAATTTTATGAAATAAAATTGTCTTTAAATTCTTATTTCTGTACGTCGTAGATAAAGTATAGTATGCAACTCGTTTTATAAACTTCTCTAGACACTAGTTTTTATTAAACACTCGCTCGCAAGCTTCGCTCGTGCATAATAAAACTCGTAACTAAAACGGCGTTTATAAAACTTGATACATAATATACTATTATATTATTTTTGCATCAAAATTGTCAAATTTATTCTTCTTTTTTTAGACTATAAATTAAAAAAAAATCGCAAGAAATATTTTATAAGTGAAGATAATTTTAATGATAGGTGTGGACGGGACAAGATAAATCATTTTTTTGTCCCGTCCACACCATTCAATTATTAAAATTATATCTACTTTTATAAAATATTTTTTCGTTTTTTTTATTTAATGTATATGAATATTTTGGACAATTTTGATGCCAAAATATTATATAATAAATAATCTACAATTTTTTTTATAAAAACAGTTTTGAAATTAGTGCGTTGCTCGCGCATGAAATGGCCGATTTATGTGAACCTGTTATAAACGTTTGTTTTTTTGGATTCAATAAATACATTAAAAAAAAAGTAAAGAACAGTGGTGGCTGGTGGATTTTGGGTATACCGATATCTCAATTATTAGATATGGGACCCACACCAAATTTATATGAGTTTATAATGACATTAAATAAACAAGTTCTGCGCAAGCAGAATTTAAATTGAAGTTTGCTAAAAAATATATCTTTTTGCTCGTCCGTACCGGCCCCATGGCGCCCCCAATAAAGATAATATAAATTTAATTGGTACAATTTATTATTTACCATAGTTTATCGACAAATTTCAAGTTTTATTTAAAAAATCCAAATCATACAGATTTTATATCATTTAAATTTGGATTATTTCTTTTCATATGTATATATACAGGGTGTTATGTAATTAATGTTATATATTAAAATACTGAATACCTTTTGACATAAGGTGTAATGGAAAAATATTTTAAAAGATATTTTCCCAAAGAAAGAAAATATATGCATAAGAAGTTTTTTATATTTTTTGTGATACGCCACTGGTTACACACTTGTGTTCTGTGAGTACATAGATACGAACCAACAAAGTAGCTGCGCGTTGCCAGTTGTAAAAAATTGTTACTAAAAAATTTTCTTGCATAAAATAAATAAATACAAAAGTTCTAAGCCCTTAAAGTTCTAATACCATTCTGTATTTATTTACTCATCCAGCTATTAACTTAAGCAATGATAAGAAAAATTAGTACCTATTTAAAAACTCCATAAAATTAATTTTTTCATCGGTTTTTTTCTTTCTGTTTACTCAGATAAAATTAGGACAAGTTCACAGGTTAATCGTTAAACATTCAATTTGTGTAAATAAATCCAAACGCCCAAAAGCACTTCCCTTAGTTAAGATATTTACAATTTGAGCACATAACCTACAATTTTTTGACAGAATGTGTTACCAACCAACATAATAAATTAAACCAGATTAACTTAAAGTAAAGTAAATCATTACGAATTATGAATAAAGTTTAAATCTGGTATGTTTTTAAATCACAATGTTAAAATGATTTTTAAAAAATCATTAGTTTACAAATGTCTAATTAGTGATCTAGCGATTTCAGGTTTTTATTTTTTTCAAGTTTTTTCAGGTTTTTATTCTTTTATAAATATTTTGAAAGTTTGAAAATTTGTATTTTATTAGTAATAATAATAAGTAATTAGTGCGAAAGATTTTATGCTATGGCGGGTCGGGCGCTCACAAATATTCAATTAACAAATATGGTTTTGTTTTACGGGGAAGCGATGCAAAATGCTCGTCAAGCAAGAATTCTGTAGGTAGGTATATTCAAAATTATCACAACGCCAATCACGGACATCCACCGCCCTCGGAGCAAAGTTTTGTACGTGCTGTGCAAAAATTTAAGGGACCGCGGAAGATTTAGCGCATTTGTTGGTGATAGGGGTCGGGCTCAGGGACGTGAATTTGTGGCCCTTGAAGAACAAATTTTGGACGAAGTGGAAGCAAATCCGAGAATTAGTACAAGACGATTAACTGCCCAACTTGGACAAATGTCCAACTTTGTTACGTGGCGCACGATTCACGAAAATAGTTTGTACCCCTATCACCTACAAAAAGTTCAAGCTCTTCAGGATAGAGATTATGCACTGCGGTTGGAATTTTGCCATTGGTATATACAGAAAAATCAAGAAGATGCTGATTGGAGCCATAGTGTTTTGTATACCGATGAGGCCACATTACGAGATACGGGATTTAGGCAGCAACTCAGGAACTTAATTGTAAATAGTCCAGACATTTTTACGCGGGTGCGCGAAAGCATGCTTTGCAGAGTTTAAGCTTGCATTCTAAATAATGAAATCATTTTGAGCATCTCAAATAAGGTAATACATTTTTAATTTTACATTTGGCAACACTGCATTAAAAAGTAATAGGTAAGGTTAATCCGCGGTTCCTAGTCGATCAGTGGCGTACTTTTTGGTAGGATAAAGGTTATTATAAATTATTTTTAGTCTTTGGAATTTAGAAAAAAAAGTTTCAGGTGCTTCTTTATGGGCCCTAAGGAACTACCCATTTTAATATATAACATTAATTACATAACACCCTGTACATACATATACATACATATATGGTCCAAAATATAAATTCATAAATTTATAATGTTTATTAAACTTAAATAACAGTATAAAATAAAAATAAACAGTGGCGGATCTGGGATTGTTAGCGCCCAGGTCTAAAAGGGGATTTAACTGCTGTCGTATGATCGTGAAGAATAGTTTTTTACAAATACAACTTGCCGTATACAATCCCACCGAGGAGGAAAGTTAAAGCTTTACTCGGTAACATGCGAAAAAGTTGTGCTTTGGGTTTACATGTGTGATGCAGCGAGAAAATATGAAATTTCGCATGCCAATAGACATGTTTATCGGAGACAGCAGTTAGTTGGGCGCCACTTGACTTCGGCTACCCCCTTCGTCTCCCCTAGGTCCGCCACTGAAAATAACAACCGTAATTTGGGGTTAAATTACAAAAAATATGACCAAAAACTTATGCTTTTAATTTTTTTATTATTATTTTTTAAATTAAGAACGCAATTCTTCTTTTTATTAAATGTAATAATTTTGTTTTAGATACGAGAAATTGTTGAGACGCGCTCGATCAGAAGATTTAAGCGAAGTGTCGGGAATCGGATGTCTGTACCAGAGCGGAGTTGACAGGTTGGGACGTCCGGTCGTCGTTTTTATCGGGAAATGGTTTCCCTTCAACAAAGTCAATTTGGATAAGGTAAATTCTTCTATATTATTTTACCGCATGTAAGTGAAAAGTTTATTAGTGTAAAATGTATAGGTATATTTTTTATTTTCGAGGATTTTTTGAGAGGCCATTCTCGGACTTTTAGTAAAATATATTCTATTTAATTATAATTTAAATAGGAATTTAATGTTCGGTTATGTTAATCTGTCGGTTTTTTATTTGATGTTTAAATATTATGTACATTTTTATTATCCACTTAAAACTGATATATATATATATACAGGGTGGTCCAGGATTAATCTGAAAAATTTTAATGATCGATAGAGCCTGAAAAAACAATAAAAACAAACCCAAAAACATTTTTCAAAAATGCATACTAACGGAGTCCTTCAAAATAATTTTTAAACCATTAAACCGATTCTTCTCAAATTTTGTGTAGGTTAAGCTTCCGTCGATAATATAATGAAAATTTCCTACAAAAGGCCCAGTGGCGGAGATTTTGGGAGGGGTTTCCCCTTTTTACCCTCATATTTTCGACGCCACTGGATTTTATTAGAAAATCATCAGATTTATTTTTATCCTTTTTCAATCTAAAAGCAAAACTTTTATGTTTATTTTTTATCAGATCAATGGTTTCGGAGATATTTCAGTTTAAAATTTCAAAAACACTGTGTACACGTAACTTTTGTTATTATTTTAGTAATAAAAAAATATTTTTTTTCTGAACGATTGTATTGGGCCAATAAAAATTTACCAATGAAATAATGGAATAATCGCTTTCAATAGGGTGGTTTTTGGGTTGGTTTGATTTTGTATTATAATACAATTAGGCCCAGTTGTATAACAGTTGGTTAACAGCTGATTAGCTGATTAACTCTTGAATTTAATTTAATTTAATGTTTAGCGGTGCTCCGTTACTGACAAACTGTACTACACTTAGTTATTATCTAAGTGTGGTACACTTTGTCTGTCACGGAGCACCGCTAAACATTAAATTAAATTTAAGAGTTAATCAGCTAATCAGCTGTTAACCAACTGTTATACAACTGGGCCTTAAAGTATTAATTACAGACGTTGATTGTAATCCTCAATCAACGTTACAATAAAACAACCTAAAAATATGACGGGATCAGTAACAACTGCACGATGACTCCTGGACGCTAGTTTATTTTTATAATATTTTATAAACTAATAACGTGGCATAATTGTTACCAAGTTACCGATTTAAAATAAAATATGATAAAATTCCGTGTACTCGGTGTTTTTGAAATTTTAAAGTCTCCGAAACCACTGATCTTATGAAAATTTAACACACAAGTTTTGCTTCTAAATTGAATAAGAAATCTGATGATTTTCCAATAAAATCCAGTGGTGTCGAAATATGGGGGTAAAAAGGGGGAAACCCCCCAAAATCTCCGCCGCTGGGCTTTTTGTAAGAAATTTTACCTACACAAAATTTGAGCAGAATTTATTAAAAAAAAAAAACGTTTTTTTGCCTTTGAAGGGCTATTAGTGTGTTAGTGTGTATTTTTAAAAAATATTTTTGGGTTTGTTTTTATTGTTTTTTTTCAGGCTCTATCGATCATTAAAATTTTTCAGATTAATCCTGGACCACCCTGTATATATATATATATATATATATACATTTAACAAAAAATTTTTGTTATTTTTTAAGTCATTGGCCGTTTTGTTACAATATGCGATTGAAGTTTAAATTTAAGTCTGTTTATAAAAAAAATGTAAACGTTTAGGACTTAAACGTATAAATTTTTATCTTCAAGCGGTCTATAAATTAAACTTTAGTGTCGTTTATGTACTTTGACACTGAATTAATTAATTTTGGCATAAGCACATAGCATTTAACAGATAAAAACTTTTATAAGGCTAGTAGGTAATTAGTTCGTTTTCTTCTCACCAGTGGCAGTGGAGAAAATAATTTGTTTGTTTTACATTTAATAATATTTTGCATAAACAAAGTACGAGCATAACTAAACACGGATAATCAAATTTATGTGTAAGGTCGTTTACATGAGACGCCCATATTTTGGGACGTTCGGACCTATTTGGGACCCGAAATGGACGTCCTGGGTACCTCTTGTGCTATCGGGGTTCTTGGCCTATATTATTCAAAATGTATCTAATGATTCCACCATAAATTAGTAATTTGGATGTATTTATTTGAAATTTACGTCGTCATTTGGTTAATAAATGGTACTAGTAACCCTATAGCACTACATTATATATAGTGTTCTTGGGTTCTATGCTCCACCTAAAAAGTCCCAGTTTCACATTTGAATACAAATCATTGAGGTTTTTATTTGAGTTTAACGCTAATTTTATCTTATTTTCTAAATTTAATAAAATAATTAAAGATTAAAAAAAATAAAAAGTTTTGAAAGGATACTTAAAAAAGTACATATATTTTTCATAAACATTAAATTAAAATATGAAAACTTAATTAAACATGATGTACATTTATAATTTAAATGAGAACTTAAATGTTAAATAAATAAAACCATGTGATGTAAAATAGCGTACTAGAGTCTACAGACCATACTTCACAAAGGCTTTCGATCCCGCACATGCGCTTTGGTTTATCAGCTGATCTACTGTTAATCAACTAAAATGGGCAAAAGTGAGCGAAACCAACCAAAACAAACCCAAACTCAACAACACAACCCAACCGACCCCGCCCCATTGGTCAATAGAGATATAATATATGTAAGGGTAGATACATTTTATAAATTTTGAACATTAAATAATTTATATTTATTTAAATTATAGGTAAAATAGCGCAATGATAACAAACAAAATACCCACCAGGATGATAACAAAACTTTTTGACTTCTGACAGTAGATCAGCTATTAACCAAAGCGCATGTGCGGGATCGAATGCCTTTGTGAAGAATGGTCTGTAGACACTTCTAAATATCGTGCGCAGACCTTGCATGGCTGTCATCCAACGGTGGCTGGGTAATTCACACTCATAGACACACAGTGTGCGCATTTTGCACATACGTAGGTTACTACAGTTTACAAACGTACTATGCTCCACACCTCAAAGTCCCACCACGTGACTACGTACGGAAAGCAGTCTTTCGAAAATTTTGCATTTAAGGCTTATGTATCTGTCAAAGTATGGTCAATGAAATAAATAATATTTATACTTTGGCTGCTTATGTTTAAGCGTTAAAAATTTATAAATCTTTATAGTATCACAATAACAATGGTTGGTGTAAGAATTTAGGAATATAAATACTGCATTTAATGAAATTTATAAAATAAATCTAGCTTCTTTATTATGGAATAAGAATATCTGTTTCAAAGGTAGGTTAATATACTTATTATAAAATATCATCTAATTTTGTAATTTTAAAGTTAGAAACATTTTTTGACCAAAATAAAGAAGTATTTTAGATTATTTGGAAGAGTGCGTTAATATGGTCATATTAATATAGGTATACTAAATAATTGTTGAATATGGTTCAAATTAAATTGAAGCTTTTATACTTCGAACAACAAAACTTGTGCATACCTCTCGGCATACGTACTTTAAGTTAGATTATAAGAAAACAAACAATTTATAATATTAAATGATTTTTCGATGTAGATCAAATTCAGTCGAAGCCTTATACCACTTGTATTAACAAAACTGTATGTAGGTAGGTAGAAATAGATTGTTATAATATACTAACCTACCTTTAATATTCTTTTTCCATGTTCTTGTTCCATAATAGAGAAGCTAGATTTTTTTTTAAATAAATGCCGTTTGGTTAAAACTATTTTATCGAGAAAACAAGATATTTAGACCAAATGCACAAAAAAATTAAGTACTTATTTGGCACCATACACTAGAATTTTATTAAATGCAGTATTTATATTCCTAAATTCTTACACCAACCATTGTTATTGTGATACTCTAAAGATTTATACATTTTTAACGCTTAAACATAAGCGGTAAACTTATAAATAATATTGCTTTCGTTGACTATACTTTGACAAATACATAACCTGAAAAGCCTTAAATCCCAAATTTTTAAAAGACTGCGTTCCGTACGTAGTCACGTGGTGGGACTTTGAGGTGTGGAGCATAGTACGTACGTAAGTTTTTTGGCATGCTCCCACATTGTATAGTAATCCTACAGTATTTAGAAAATTGTAGAAGTTCTGCATGTTTATTGATGCAAACAGCAATAATAAAACAAGTATCCATATTTTTGTATATAGCAAAAACTTTAAAAGTTATTAACTTCACGAGGTAAAATACGAAAAAAACTCAAGAAACGAAAAAGTTGTATGTTTAGTGGCTTAATCATATAAAAATTTATTTAAATAAATATTTAAAAAAAAATGTTTAACACCCGGTATCTTAAAAACTAATTATGCTTAAGCATTTCTATATAGCTTTTTTATTATTTTTGGATGAAGAATCTCCAGCCGATCGTTGGCGCATGTTTTTTGAAACACCCTGTATTATATATAACAAACATGGTAATTAATTATAATTACTTACAGTCTGTAATCCAATTAAAACTAAAATTAGCGGATTTTCCAAATTGTACTATTTTAATTTGTAAAATTGTATGGTAGCAATTTTAGTTGAACATGTATGTTTCTTACTTTGAAGAGGCTGCCATAAACAATCTATTTTAAAAACCAAATCCAATTTTTGTTTTTTTTTAATGACAAGGAACATTAGAGGGTCCACAGAACTTAAGGAATTACTGGGATCAGGTGAATTAATTACTGTTAGCCCAGCTTGCTAATAGTCAAGTCAAAATTTTTTCATCACAATTTTTTTTAACTTGAGCTGTCAAAAATTGACCTTTCCTATTATTTTTATTCAAAATTATTTTGGTTTACCTCTAGCACAATATGTATTAATAATACATTGCATTATGCTTCACATCAAAAAGTTCTACTTTTGGGTGTGGAGCATAGTACAATATTAAATATATTTTCTATTTATCCCACCTCATAGAAAAACCCTGTGCCCCACCTGTAGTGTTAATTTTACATTTTTTAAAATATTGTAAAATTTTCTTCATTATATAGTGTGCGGCGCAAGGGTTGTCATTTTTTGAAATGAGAAGTACACGATAAATAATTTAAAAACTAATTTCAGGTTTGTTTAATTATAATGGAAACATAGCTTTTGGCATGCGATTAAAAAATGTTACATTAAAAAAATTGTGTTATTGAGGAGTTGACCATGTTGGAAGCTTTATACGAAAGTTGGCATCGTGAATGCCTCAATAGGACAGGATGTCAAGGGAATCAATTTTCTCAATCTTCTGTCTTATTGCGGCCTTCAAACTTTTTCATTGTTTAAGGTATGTGGTTACAAACACGCCCCTTGAGGTAGCCCCATAAAAAGCCATCTTTGGCGAGCGCGGGAGTACAAAAGAGCGTTATTTAAGCTAAACTCTATAAACGCTCACTTTCGCTTGAAAATACTTAATTTGGGTAGGTACCCGCAAAAAAACCTTTGTCAAAATTATATAATAAAATAAATATAAATCTGAAGTTTAATTTAATTCTGACGTTAACATTTAAAGTCAATCACACTTTAGAATGGAACATTAAATTTTCTTACCTGATTAGCAAAAGGGAATGAAAATATATACAGGGAAAGGAATAAGATTGTTGACAGCGGGAGAAATGAATGTCATTAATTATTAACAATTGCGAATACAATCGGCGCATTATTAACCACTCGACAAAAAATAAATTTTTCTACTCCTATTACAGAATATGGCCATTCTAATATAACCTTTTAATGTAGAATTACATATGTTTCTTAAAGTGTTGCAGAATTAATTATTATCCCTGGATAACGGAATAAGCAATGGTGGCTCGTGAAACCGTTAAACTCGCCTTCGGCTCGTGTGACAAACTTTTTAATCGAGCGGAATATGCCGTATTACAAACTTGATCGATTCTGAACAAATAAGATTGATTGATAATTGAACCTTAAAGATATGATCAAACCTCGATTATGTTTTCATGATAAAAAAGATCGAGTTTCAATCAATTTTTTTCAGCAGGGAATGGTGAGCAGATATCTACGTTCGTTATTTAAAAAGAAATTTTTTAAATGGCAACATTGCATACTAATAAAGTGGTAGTTTAATTCTTTATCATTATGACCCTGTATATACCTATATATATTTATTACATAAAAATTAGTAAGCACCTAAAATGTAATTTTAAAATTATAAATTTAACAAATATTAATATTTATCAAGCAAATATTTAATAACGTACTGATATAATTTGTGACATAATTAAGGATTAAATTATAGTATAATGCATTAAAAACGTGTCACCTATGACGTTTCAGTTTTTAATAATATATTCATTAAGATTTTATTTTATGCTTTTAAATTATTATTGTTTTATTTGCTTGGTCTTTAAATTGATTAAATTAAAGCTTGTTAAGAAATATTATATTATGTATAAAGTTTGATAAACGATTTTTTAAACACGAATTTAATTTAGGCACGAGCGAGCTTGCGAACGAGTGCTTAATTAAATTATTGTTTTTTGTATGACAAATACTTACTATTATCTAAAAATGAGTTAAATTAAATATTTGTATAGAGCGCCATCTTTAAAACAATAGAGTAACCACTTGGGAATTTGTATTATGTCAAATGTCAAATTTGTTTGTGTAAATCGAAATGTATCCCTTGAAAATGGACCGTTTAATCCGATATAGAAGTTTTTCACAGTGAAAGTAAAAAAAACGTTTTATTGGCACTCCACGGTGGACTCTCCACCAGGAATAAAGTTAAATCTAATTTCTTGCCGGCGAAATTAAAACTTAATACTTTTTCATTTTTGTATTGAGATAATAAATAAATTTTTTTATCTAGTATTATTTTACCAGAAGGACACTTTACTTTAACGATTGTATGGCATTTGACAACTGTCAACTAACTTAAAACTAACTTCAGCCCGTGACTAAAATGTCACAAAGCCACAACTTGTCAATGCGTTTAAAAAGTCACTTAGTGTCATGGGAACATGTACGATAATAGGCGTTTTAAAGGTTCGACAAAAATACAATTATGTTTAAGTAATAAAAACTTCGCCCAGCTGGCTTAGATTTATAAAATTTATTTTATTGAATAAAATAATAATAATAATTAAACAATAAAAGTTTATCAGTTGTTGGGTTAATTATAATTATAATAATTATTATATAATACAATTTTAATAGAATAAAAAACATATAATTACAAGTTGTAATAATTATTTACAACCAATGCGTGTAAAAACCTAAGTAAATAAAATAAGTTCGAGTTTATTTATACCTTCCAAATTAAACATATTTTTAAAATAACATTCAAAACAAGTTTGTATTGGAACTTACTTAATAGTTTTGACTTTTTATTTTAAAAAATGTTCTCGATTTTAAAAATAGCTAGCTTACAAGCTTGTTACAATATTATTTTAAAAATGTGTAAAATCATAATTCAAGCCATCTAAAAACTATTTACTTAAACTTAGGTAATAAAAGACTTTCAATCTGTAATTAGACCCAAATATACAACATTTATTAAAAAGTTAATTTGACAACATTTTCCAAAAAATAATACCTCCATGGTAATTTTGTATACAATTATCAAGGTTATTTTATATTAATACCTCAACATACACGGTGTGGATAATAGGACTAATTTATTTCTTATTACGTGGCTACAATGGGGATTGTGTTTCAGTTTGTACATATAATTTTTGCAAGGCATTCAATAAAAATTTGACCAATCTAATTTTGTCTGCAGTGTCGCGTGGGGCCATGGGGCTCCAGCGACAGTTTAAAGTCCTGTGGCTCCTTGGCTGATTTTTATCTTTAATTTTGCATTTTAAATTATTCATTGAATAAGGTTCTGAGAACGTTTTCCGGACAACTTTAACGCATATTTTCCTTATATTCAATTATACGTTAAAATTATTTGAACACCGTTCTTACTTATTCCTATTTTAACAGCAATTATTCGTATGGTTATCTGTCAGTCAAGCTGCACTAATCACGAAATTTTTCTAAATTTTCATCAACGACGGTTTTGGAACGAAAAATCTCTCCTATTGTCTTCCACGCTCTCTCTCTTTCTCTCTCTGCCTTTCCAAAACCAGCTTACCCTCTTCGAAACGGTTCAAAGTTATACGCAGATGCCCCATACCCAACATTTTGATGATTTCTGGACCATTTTTTCATAAGGAATTTAATGTTTGTTATTGCTTGCTTAAACTGTTTCGCATTTATTACCGCAAACAAAATTAGTGCTTGAAAAAATAGACGCCAAATCGTACATGCTTATATGATTAGGGTCAAATTATTACTGACTGCTCGCAACAATTATTTATACTTACAAACTGAGCCACACTGATTCACCCCCAGTATTTCCACTTTTTAAGAAAAAAAATAGTATACGAACTTGTCCACATATAATATTTATGTAATTTGTAGCACACCATGTATGAATTCTCAAAAAAATCTGTTAATAGATTTTTTTAATTGTTACACACCCTAAAAGCTGGCCAAAAGAGAAAATGTGACTGAATATTCTTGAAAACCTGCAGTTTTATGTTTCTGGGGTCAAGAAATTAGAATTTCAGGTCAAAATTTACAAAAACAAAATGTCTGACTTGTAAACTTTAACTTTGTTTTTGTAAATTTTTGTAAGCATTTTATACAGGGTGTCTCGAAAATTACGCACTAAGTTAGTTGGTTTTCATTCTTAAAACGATCCATAGCTTAAAAAATGTGTTTTTACAAAAAATCCCTGCCAAACACATTTTAATCCTTCTAAGGGCCGGTTTATCAATGTCCAGTTAAAGTTGTAGTTAGTTATCTGGTAGATAATTTCCATGGATACCATTGTTCTCACAACAATCGATATGAAATTTAACCGTCAGATAGACTAACTGGAACTTATCTAGAGATTGATAAACCGGCCCTAAGAGAATTTAAATGTTTCAAAACAAATATACCCTATTTAATTTAAACAATATTTAAAAAAAGGCCTGTAATTACGTTTTTAATTTTATATCAATTAAAAGTATATACCTTAGGCTTGGCCAAAAAATTCCTTTCTAGAAACCATAAACAAGCCTTTATATGCCTTTACTTTTATATATTGTGGCAAGTAAAAATATGCCTATATCGGCATATTAAAATGTTCCTAAGAATATTATTCATTAATATTTTCTATTTAATTATTTTCAATTTTCTTCTTTTTTTTCAGGCGCTCTTGTATTTAATTGATTTGCTCGACCCTATCGTACGTGGGGATTACGTAATTGCATACTTCCATACACTGACAACAAGTCAAAATTATCCCACATTTGCATGGCTCAAGGAAGTTTACAATGTTCTACCGTACAAGTACAAGAAAAACTTAAAGGCTTTTTATGTTATTCACCCTACATTCTGGACCAAGGTTTGAAGACGAATAAAATGATACAATTGAATCTGTATTATTGTTTTTATTTTTATTTTTAGATGATGACCTGGTGGTTTACCACGTTCATGGCACCTGCCATTAAGCAAAAAGTGCACAACCTAGCAGGAGTGGAATTCTTGTACTCTGTCATGGCTCCGGATCAGCTCGAAATTCCAGCTTTTATTACTGAATATGACATGACTGTAAGTAGGTGTTTAAACTTATAACCCATTTATATTAGGAATATGATATTTCCCCAACTAAATTAAGTCTCTTTTTCATTGTAAAAGTGACTAGTATGCAAAAAATAGTAGTCAAATAAGACATAAAAAGTTGAAAAGGTTATTTCAAACTGTCTCACGAACCGCAATTTAAAATCTGATTATTTTGGCGGCAATAAGGTATACTAAAGGTATGACTAAAAAAAGTAGACTAATCGATTTCTTAATAGTCAGATTGATATACTAAGCTTAAAAGGAATATAAAACGACGTAGATGGCGTCCTCTACTCATAAAATAAAAACTTTGGACAAATTCCTAATTTTGTACCGCTGCACAGTGTGGTCCCGATCCAGAAAAAGCTTGCCAAAAGTCAGTAAATTTCGGGATCGGGACGACTGTGCGCTGTATAGTTTTCTTGGGAAATTATTGGAAAAAACTTTGCCCCCTGTATCTTGGTTATTATCAACTTATAGGTTGGCAATAATTGCTTAAGTTTGAATAAATCAGATTGTTTTGAATTAATGAGTATGTTGTTGCCCTGTATAAGGTTCATTTTTAATATGTGGGCCAAAAAAACTTTAAATTTTTTTTTCATTAGTTACCATGAAAATACCGTCCAAGATGACAAAAAAAAATTCTGATAAAGTTTGAGTTCTTAATATTAATATTAAGAGGTGGCTCATCGCGATTCTTTATTTTCCATTTAAATAACACGGGAAAAAAACATTTTTTTGTTTGTAATTTTATTGCGTTTTAACGAATCAGTGAGTTGTAGAAATTCAATACATATTCTTGTAGAGAATTGAACGATCTACAAAAAAGATCTGATATGATTTTTTGCTTAGTCGACTCGTTTAAAAGTTATTTAAGGTTAAAGTTCAACCTTAAATAGTAAATGATGACTTTTATAGTTTTTCATACTCTATTACGAAATATTGGCTCAAAAACATGAAATATCATATTTTTCGTGAAGTTTATCGAGTGTTCTTCGGTAAAACAATACAATTTTTACGAAATATCAATAATCGTGAAAAAAAGTTTTTTTTTTCTATAGGTATTTTATTAATTTAAAATCATTTTTAAATCACAAAAGTACTTGATAGTCTAGTATAGCAGAGTTTTTGATAATAAAGTACGCATCGCAATGGGAAGGGTCGCGTCGGGAGCGCGCTCGAGCGCCAGGGCCAGAAAAGTCGCGCCGGCTCACAAAATCAAATTTCATTAATCGTTTAATTAAAAATCATTTTTTTTTTTAGTTTTTCATTCGAAAGACTTTAACGAAAATATAAATTAACACAATTTTCAAAAAGAGCATTGAGAAAATTATAAAAAAAAAGTGTTTATTATAAATATATATTTTTTTTGAAAATATATTTTTTTTAATTTAAATATATTTTTAATGAAAATTTGATGAGTTTTGAATAATTTTCAATTAAGGTAAAATTTTATTAAAATGCTTTATTTCCCTGAGAGATTTTCGAAAAAAATTCGTCAAAAACGCTCTTTTTTAAATAACTTTTATAATTGTTTATATATATTTTTTTAAATTTGGAAATATTTTACTATTAATGAGTACTACAAAAACCAATAATTGTTTTTTGTATTTTCCAGTCGGGAAAACTGTGATCCGTTTCACGAATTCTCACCCAATATAAATAAATATCTAATTTTGTTTTTTTTGCTCTCAAAGGTGGGGGTCCGGACACGATAACCTCCCCGCCACTGGTCAAGATTTCGCTTTTTTAATAATACAATACTTAATTCCACTTTTTTGTTTTATTAAATCATTTATTTAATTGGGAAACTGTAAACAACTTGTCCACAAAAAATGCGAATTTCAAGAGGCCTTAAAAATTGCGAGATAATATTACAAAGCTCTGCAAGGGTTTTCTTAGTATGTTACACAGTCCTACTTTCATTTCGCGTTGGATCCATTTGGGCTGAAATTTCTGGTTGCACTGTGTAATTTCTGCTTGGTAAAAACAGAGTTTCGAATTTGTCACGGTTTTGTTTTTTGTGTTTTAGAAAATACAAACAAAATAGAAACACCACACGCACTGTGTGGTGGAAAACTGCTTTAAGAAATAAGTCCACCAAGAATTTAAAATTAAATTTTTAACAAAGTTTTTTTAAATTAATCCGTGTCTCATGTTTAAAATTATGAAATAAAGCTATCTAGATTTCCTTTCTAAGTAAGTGGGCTAGTAATACGGCTATATCATGTTTCTTTACTGGTAGGAGTTAGTTAGTTCTAGCATGCAATATTTTGTTTAAAACTTGTTTAAAAGATTGCCTTATTGGCCATGTATTCCCTAAAACTTGGTTTTTATTGGTTGATATTCAAATAGAAAAAAAAAATATTATGTCAAATAATATTGGGTGCCTATACCTACAAATTATGGTACCTACATTACAATATACTTTTATACAAGTATTATTCATTTGCTTGTATTAGTCCCATTAAGGTATTTTGTGTTGTTTTCTTGATAAACATGTATATTTAGATTTGTAAATATGTCGAATGTTCTCGACCACAAAACATAATGTTGTCGGCTGACATGGGTTTTGGTACCATCGTTGATTATTGATTTATTAAAAAAATGTTATAAAGTGTACCTAACAATGTTTTATAAATGTCGATAAATGTTAATTGTTCCTTTTGGTGAGTTAACTATGAGTAAAACCAGGGTTTAAGAGTTAAAAGACTTTTCAAAATGCAGTGGCGGCCCGTGAAATTTTGTTTTGTCGAGGCAGGGGCAAGGTTTTGTCCTTATTGAAGTCTGTAAAACTTTTGTAAACTTAACTTTAAAAAAAAACATGACGAGGTCGCAGCCTAGTCAGAAAGAATATTTAGTATACCACATATTAACAAAAGCACGACTAGTTTTACCAAGATTAATTATTAAATTACTTTAATCTGCACCAAATTCCTTAAAAAATATTTTTTCATCAAAAGAAAGACAACTAAATGGAAAATTCAAAAGGAAATCAACAATATGCCGTATTGAATATGAGTACAATATCTTACGGTTATATCCATAATGGGAAAATTTACACGAATTATTAATTAAATTACAAAAGAACAGCTGTTTTCCGTTACGATAATAATAATATTTATAGAATTAGAACAGAATTGTACAGCATACTCATTGTGTTGTTAAAACGTCTTTTGCATCATTTTATTATCTTTAAATTCTTCGCAAATTTTTATTCAAAATCAATTCTACGCACACCTTAAAATTATCTACCCATTGGCAACACTGAGCGCAGGATATAAAGATATGTGGGCGCCCACTGGGCGTGCTTGCCTCTTCTGCCAAAGAACACCGTTCTTTGTCTCCTCCGGCCGCATTGTGTACTAGAATTATACATATATGGCAACAGAGTGCAGTGAATATATCACACCGTGTGATTCACAAGGCCAGAGGCATGCCTTAGACCAAATTTCGGGCTGTAAATATTTAAATGTCGCGGGCTCTTCTACGCATAAAATCAATTGAATTTATTGAATAATGTATAATCTATGTAATTTATATATAAATTGTATATTAGAAAGTAAAATATTTAAGTTATGTTTAATTTTCACCTGCCTCCCCTGACAGACCGCCACTGCTAAAAGGGCTATAAAGCACATGAAAAACACTAGCGTCTACGTCCCAACTGCAACTTCGGTGCCCTGGCGCTGTTGCGTTTCAATATGCAATTGTGTGGAAAATTTAAATATCCCGCCATTAGTTCAATTTGTAAAGTGCGCATGACAAATATTAAAATGCGCATGCCTAGGATGTCCGAAACTGCTTGTCATAAAAATCGACGCACCTAGTTTTTTGAAAATATTTGAAAGCTCATTATTGGAAAATTACTGAATCGATTTTGAAAATCTTTGTAAATTCTGAATAGCTGATTCTTTGACTCTTATGTCTAATTTTGGGAATACGATATTTTGCACATAGCATTATACTACAGGGTGTTAAACGAAGAGATGTATTTTTTCCGAAATTTCAAGTTATTCCCATTTATGAGGCAGTTGAGTTTGAAAGTCGTAATACCTCTCCCTAATATTAGTAAGGTAATCCCTCGAAACGTTTTCGAGATTTTGTGAATATCGCGGCTTACTACGATTATATGCCAATTTATCGAAAATTGTCGTTATTTCCCAGTTTAGTCCAAAAAATGAGCAATAGTGGATTCTTTGACTTGCGTCTAATTTTGAGATATTGTGCACATAGCATTATACTACAGGGTGTTAAAAAAAGAGATGTTTTTTCCAAAATCCCATTCACAGGGCAGTTGAGCTTGATAGTCCTAATACTCCTCCCTAATAACAGTTAGGTAATCCCTCGGGACATTTTCGAGATTTTATGGATATCTTGGCTAACCACGATTGTACGGCAATTTTTCGAAAATTCACGTTATTCTTCATTTTAGTCCAAAAAATCAGCAATATTTGATTTTTTTACTCTAATTTTTTCCAAAATTCCAAATCACCATGCACAGGCCAGTTGAGCTTGATAGTCATAATACCCCTTCCTAATAACAGGTAATCCCTCGGGACATTTTCGAGATTTTGTGGATATCTTGGATAACTACGATTATATGGCAGTTTTTCGAAAATTCACGTTATTCTTCACTTAAGTCCCAAAAATGAGCAAACTACGGAAGGTATCAACACAGCGTTTTAAGGTAGGTCACGTGCTTCCAGTTTATGTACGTTGCGTGATTGACTAAAAGTGAAATGTTTCACACAAAACCAATTTTTTTCGGTTAAATTCAAAATAAAAACGCAAACCAAACAAAATTATTCTCGTAAACTTATGCAGGCTATATTCATGCAATTTTCTACAAACGGTTGACTATAAAAGTTAAAAAAAATATGGCGCATATCTGGTTTTGAGTTTCCTTCCTTCAATTATTCTTGTCATTTTTGTCGTCGAATATGAAAACATTTTTCAAACAGCAAATAACATTTATAAAAATAAAATGACGGATGTAAGATTGCATACCACGCAAGACGAAGAGCTGCCTGCCCTCTTTTTCTGCTAGAAGAAGATGGGCACAAATTGGGGAAACGATGTGTTGATAACTAATCGATACCTTTCGTAGTTTGCTCATTTTTGGGAATTAAGTGGAAATTAACGACAATTTTCGAAAAATTGCTATATAATCGTAGTTAGCCAAGATATCCACAAAATCTCGAAAACGTCCCGAGGGATTACCTAACTGTTATTAGGAAGGGGTATTAGGAATATCAAGCTCAGCTGCCCTGTGAATGGGGATTTGTAATTTTGGAAAAAAACATCTCTTCTTTTAACACCCTGTAGTATCATGCTATGTGCACAATATTGTATTCCCAAAATTAGAGATAAGAGTAAAAAAATCAAATATTGCTGATTTTTTGGACTAAAGTGAAGAATAACGTGAATTTTCGAAAAATTGCCGTACAATCGTGGTTAGCGAATTTCGAAAATTTGATATGGACTGACCCATACTTTACAAATTATCTCTAAAACAAATCATTTTATCAAAATTTTATAGGAGACAAAATTTTTTTAACAATAAATTATTACCTGAAAAAATACCGTTTGGAAGTCATTGGCGCTCGTACTAAAAAATAGGGGGAGTCAGTGAGTACTGGACTCCCCCTATTTTGATTATTTGACAATTGTTTTTTGTTTTGTTGGTCTCCAAAAATGTAACTATTTATGTTGAAGTAGAGTACCGAATTTAAACTTAATATCTTATCAGTTACTCGAATTATTAAAAAAAATCAGTTTTAAATTTCAAACTTTGTCGCCCTGTATATCGAACATGAAGCTCTAAATTGAAAAATGGTATTATGAAAGTCTTATTGTTTTAACTCAAGGAATATATGGTTAACGGATTGACCTCCTTTTCCCGGACACCCTGTATATATTATATGTATATGTATACATAAAAAATAAAATAGATAAATGTTGATATTTTATTTAATAAATTTAAGTATAATATTTGGTGGCAGCTTGACTATGATATAGTAAAAATAATTAAATTCTATCATAAACCAATAATTAAATTCTATAATAAACCAACTCAGCTTAATACCTACTTTTAATTAATTAATTAATTTTGTTTTCATTAAGTAAAACATATTATGTTTCTAAGCTAATCTTTTGTAAAAGTAAAAAATAATACGTAAAAACAACTGAAATATAAATTTATAAAAATTGGTATGTAGTAATAAAAACTACTAATGTAAAAAATATTATTTTAATAAATGTATAATTATATTTTTGTTTTACATTAATAAATTAATAGCAATAGTCTCTTGCTCTTTTTCATTAGGTTTTTGAAGGGGGCCCAATGGGGCGGGGTTGGTTGGGTTTGGTTGGGTTGTATAATAAATTTCCTAATTATAATAATTTTAATTAATATTATTTTCTGGCTAGAAGAATGTGTAATTTTTGATGGCGGGATATTTAAATTTTTCACACAATTGCATATTGAAAGGCAACAGCGCCAGGGTACCGAAGTTGCAGTTGGGACGTAGACGCTAGTTGAAAAACGACGATTTAGTGAAAACGTGGGAAAAAAGATGAACTATTAATAAGGAATGCTACCTACGAGTTTAACGCCGTTTTCGTATATCAATTTTACAAAAACACCGTTTTTGTAGCGAAACAATTAATTTCTTTTACCTCCCCGTCACAAAAATTTGGTGTTGCTGTACTCTTTAATAAAGATGAATTAAAGGTCCGTTTTTTTTTCAGATAAACGGATTTAGATACTTCCAACCGGCAGCGCCCACCTAGGGAACACCGAATTGCGGCGAAAGCTGCTACCGTTATTAGTATTTCATCCCTTCTACGTGATAAGTTGCAATATTTTACTAGTGCCAATTTGTTGTTTGCGAACAATGTGCTATAACGTTGTTATATTCTATTTAACATTTAACTTCTCTCTATGTAGGTAATTAGAAATCGCTTTAACTTGTTTTGTCTGTCGTTTAGTTATGTCTAGCATTTATTAGGTTTTACATTTATTTATACCGTTTTATACCTACTTAATTTGCTTTATGTTTTATTCTACATTCCATACAATTATAAAATGTAATATCTGTATTATGCCTTATACCCCTTAATTGATACTTTTATTACACTGTACGCGATTAACACTAAAAAATATTTTAATTTTTACTTTCTTTCTGGACGCTAGTATGCAGTTTTGCTCCTAATTCAATCTTAACTATTTTTTCCACACCTGTGGCTGATCTACACAGGTCTTTTAATTCAATTTAATAATGGCTATTAATATTTTTTAATGGAAGTCAATAAAATTGTAAATAGAATTAAGAAGAACTTATAGTTGGTTAAAAATATATCTCAGATCCGCCACTGGTGTACTCATATCTTTTATATGGTCACTGATATTAATTAATTTTTCACAGAAATTAAATTTTGATTTAAAATCACAGCATAAGAACAATTTTGGTATGTAGTTTGTTAAGCCATGATATTAAAAAAAAAAATTATTAATATAAAATTATATGAATCAATTTTTGGTTTTTTTCTCTTAAAGGGAGGAATTTGCATGATTTAACCATTTGTAAGGTCAGTTAGTATGATTATGATGTTTAGATAACTAGTGTTGGTTTACCCAGATTTAATTAAACTTTAAGTTTTTGAATTGTCTTGTTTGGTATTTAAATTTAATTTATCCGTTCATAACTTAAAATTACTTTAACAAAATCTAGTTCTTTAAGTACAAAGAAAAAATTGATAATAGAGAGAAAAAAAGAGTAATTATGTAAAGTATTTATATATTTTTTGTTAACAAATTAATTAATTAATTTTTGGGAACAGTTATTTTCCTAAAAGTTATTAATACCTATCTAGATTGTTGGTAAGTTTTATTTTTTATTATATATAAATTAGTAACTATAATAATGTTGTTTACGATTAAACCATGTATGTATATATATATATATATATATATATATATATACCTATATATATATATGTAATAAGTTGAACTACACAATTCACTTGTTATGCAATTAAATAAAATTTAAAATAAAATCTATTTTTTTTTCTGACCGACCTCACCATTAAACGTCTAATATGTTTTCCATAACTCAAAGTTAAAGGAATTATATAGATATACACCGTGGATCCCATTTGTTTACGACTCACCCCCGTAAAATCTTTATTTATTTTGCGATTTTAACCGGATTTGTTTTAAAGTGTTATCCATGAAAAACAACATTGAATTAAAATTAAACTAATAGTAACATGGTACAATTACTATAAGTTAAGTTTTATTTTTATGTACCCCCTTAAGTAGAAATTTGTACTTAAGGGGTTTCATACATATGAGCTCTTAAAAATTAACGGTTTTCGGTGATTCTTTTTTGGTATATAATAATAATTATATTGAAACAAATTATAAAGCATCGAATAGTGTATGTTTCGAAGTATTTGTGAAAAAAATTGTATGCGAAAATATGCAAAATTGTAGAAAATACGGCCCTTGCCCCGAAACGCTTTTTTTTTCAAGCGTTTGCGATGAGCATGAAATATCTAAAACCGCCCAACAGATCTTCATAAAAAAACATATTAATATACTAATTAGTACATAGTATCACCCCCTTCGTGAACGAAGGGTACGCAAATGGCGGTGATTTTTCCAAAATCGATTTTCGAGGGTACAAGAATTGAGTTTTCCGGCCGAAAAAAATAGAAATTTTCGTCCAAATGAAAATCCCTTCGTTCACGAAGGAGCTATTGTAATAAAAATAATATAATAATAATAATAAGTTTATTCACGAAAAAAAATAAAAAAATATATAAATAGGAAAATATCAAATACAATATCCATTAGTAAATAAACTAACAAACCCCTTTAGTAAACTGGACAGATCAATTAAAAAATTATAAATATTATGCACACAAGCTTAAGGTTTATTAAAATTGGAGATAGTAATTCTTGGAGTGTTAATTAAAAAGTTCTTCAATTTAAGTTTAAATGCATTTACAGTGTTAGCTATATCAGTAAAGATAATGTATAATTTAACACCAAGGTATACCTTGAGTATACTCACTAGATATTTGACCAATACACTTAAACATTTTTGGGGGTAAGTATTTATCAGATTTTTATTTAAGATAATTTTAAGAGTTTTTTTCTGAAGTATTATTATATTATTGACATGTAACAATTCTATAGGACAAATGGCTTTCAATAAGAGCACATCATATACTAACTTAAGATCATGATCAGTGAGTATATTTTTAAGACACTTGATTTTATATATGATGTTTCTTATTTTTTTATAAAAAATTGTATGTGTTCAATGAACACATACAATTTTTTATAACACTGTTCATCCTATTTAAGGTGACTATCAATGGATATTCCCAGATAATTTACTGATTTTGATGATTTTATAGTAAAGCTTTGACCATTACAAGTTGATATTATTTCATTAAAATTTGGTAAGACATTTTTTTTGGCAAGAAAAAGGTAAAAAGCATGTCAAAGTCAAACCACTGTTTAATATGGACCAGATCTTCTTTTACCACTTCCTGAAGGTGATTCCAAGAGTTTGATTGGTAAAACAATGCTGTCAGCGAAGCTTAATATTTGTACTTTTGACTTAATTGAAAATATACCATGTACCATACCATTTATATAAAGTAAAATAAGTGTAAATAGCAAAGGCCCAAGAACGGTTGCTTGTGAAACACCCCACTAAACGTTTTTAAAATTACTACTTACATTTTGTATTTTTACGCATTGTGTTATGCCTTTTTAAGTATATATATAAATACCTATATACACTGACTTCCAAAAAAAGTGGCGCACTACATTATTTTCATTTTATACATTAAGTATTTAAAGTAAGACCAAAGTTTTCCTTTTAAAATTTAAATTAAACATATTACAGGATATAATTTAAGTTTATTTAAAAAAATAAAAAAATAAACAGCATGAAAAACTTAAAAATAAAAAATTGACCAAAAACCGAAATACCATTAACATTTTTAGATGGAAACTCCTGACTCAAAACATAAACAAATTTGTGTTTTAATTTTTGTTAATACCGTGTGTTGTCCCCTCGGGCTTGAATCAAAGCAGCAATTCGTCTAGGCATACTTTGAATAAGATTATTGATAAAGTTCTAAACAAGATTCTCCCATTCTTCTCGTAGTGCATAACGAAGTCCTTCCAGGGTCTCTGGACGAACAGATAGAACTTTAAGTCGTCTCTCTAATTGATCCCATACATGCTCAATCGGATTCATGTCGGGGCTCATAGCAGGCCATATTAAACGCTCAATTCCGACTTCCTCTTAATAATCAAGTACGCACCTTCGCACATGGGGCCTTGCATTATCCTGCATGAACAAAAAATTGGGACCAATAAAGGGGGCAAACGGAACAAGATAATCTTCAAGAATGTCTCTAATGTAAGAATTTGCATTCAAAGAACGTTCTTGAAGAATAAATAGCTCTGTTTTTGCGCCTAATGAAATGCCAGCCCAAACCATTACTGAACCACCCCAAAAATTCTTTTGCTCCACCACAGTAGCTGCACTATACCTTTCACCTCGTCTTCTCCAAACTCTATGGCATCCGTCAGGTGAACGCAAGCTAAACCGGGATTCATCTGAAAACAAAACACGTCTCCAATCATTTTCATTCCAACCTTGGTGAATTTGGGCAAACTGAAGTCGCTGTTGTTTGTGCCGCAACGTTAGTCTAGGTACGCAAGCAGGTCTTCTTGACTTTAAACCATTTTCCTCCAAGCGTCGTCTAACTGTTTGAGCACTTACAACTCTTTGTCTTGCACCTAAAAGTCTTTGAGCGAGCTCAACAGCTGTTTGATGACGGTCTCGTAAACTTTGTAGCAGCAAAAACCGATCATCTCTTGCTGATGTAGGTCTTGGGCGACCCGATCCATGACGCCGGGTCATCATGTTTGTTTGACGGTATTTCTGAAGTGCCCTTCGAATGGTAGTTTCTGGTTTATTCAACACAAGAGCGGCATATCGCACGCTCCGCCCATCTTCCACTAACGCTACTGCTTTTGCAATTTCTTCGGGTTTAATTTGCATTTTAAAGTATCTAAGTTCAAAATTAATTGCCGCGTTTAATCTTAAATGAATATTTAAAAAAAAATGGAAAAATTGCATATTTTTTATTTACCTCAAACCTTGAAAGTAATTAGAAATAACACATAATCTGAACACTAATGTCTTTTTATATAACTAATTTCAAAAATTGACGTTAAAATTATGCAAATAAAACAAACCATAAACAAATTTCAAATAGAAAGCAAATTTCAAATAGAAAACAAAAAAAAATTAAGTGCGCCACTTTTTTTGGAAGTCAGTGTATATATATATATATATATATAATTTATTATACGCTTTTAATAATTATAATTATATATATATATATACATATTCAGAAAATTAATAAAAAATTTTAAATTCAAATCATTATTTATTTTATTTCAATAACAGTTTTAATCGAGTGAAAAGTTTGTCACACGAGCCGAAGGCGAGTTTGACGGTTTCACGAGAGCGGAATAAACAATTCCAAACGTGTTTCAGACTATACTTTTTCTACGTTTTCAAAAAATCCTACCACAGAAAGTAATTTAATTGGGAGAAAGTGAGGTTGCATCGGTCTAAATTTGTTAGATATTATAATGTTTATAAACACAGAGATGTCGCCACCAGTGTTTATTCCGTCATCCGATGATAGAATTTTTCATTATGTAATACTTTCAGGAATATATGTCATTCCACGTTAAAAAGTGATATTAAAACGGTCATATATCCTTGTTGAAATTTAAATTGTTTTATATTTTATTTATATTTATAACAATTTAAACAATACCCAAGTAAAAACAGCCAACTTGGTAAATAACATAATGTATATTATGTTATTTATTTATATTAGGGTGATCTACTATTATTTTTAATTAATTAAAAAAAGGTTAAAGTAAAAGTACAATAATTTTCATATTATATGACTATAGTCTATACAGAAATATACTAAGTGATATAGAAAGGTAAACACCCATTTCTATTCGTAATATTTTATTAATTTTTGGCATACAAGTTTAGTAGACTATAAATAAAAATGTATTAGATTTTCATTCAAATCAAACAAACAGAAAAGGGTAGAAAAGCAAACAAGTTTAGTAATGTGTTATTGATCCTCGATTTTTTATGCACTCAGTGACACGCCTGGGCATTGTTCTAATAAGGCTGTCTAAATCCTCCTGGGATATCTCATTCCAGGCTACCTCTACCTCATGCCTAAGTGCTGCCAGAGTCCGGGGTGGGTGCTGTAAATTTAACAGCCTTCGACCCATCATGTCCCAGACATGTTCAATAGGTGAAAGATCAGGTGATCTTGGTGGCCATGGCAAACGGTTAATCCCCTGTTGATCCATAAAGGCCAGTGCTTCTCTAGCAACATGAGGTCGGGCTTGTTGGAATAAAGGGTTTTCTATGGTCTCTAGATATGGAAGCACGTAAGGTTCCACAACTTCCTGAATGTAGCGTTGTGCTGTCATGTTACCTCTAATGAAAACTAGAGGTGACCTGCTTCCATATGCAATGGCACCCCATACCATAACACCTACTGTTTGATGCACATGCCTTTCCATATCAAACTGTGGATCGCGCCTTTCTCCACGTCGCCTTCTTACCCTCGCCCGACCATCATGCATACATAAACAAAAGCAGGATTCGTCACTAAAGATGACATGATTCCATTCCTGATTCCACTGAACTCTCTCCCTACACCATTGTAGACGGTTGCGCCGATGTTCAGGAGTAAGAGGCAACACCCAATGGGGACGATAAGAAAAGAGTCCAAAACTTCTTATTCGGCGATAAACAGTACGCATCCCAATGACTCTTCCGTGCTCTTCAAACCACTGATTCGCAATATTACGAGTACTGCTGAATCTGTCCCTGAGGGCCAAAATTCTTAGGCGGCGATCTTGACGCTCTGTTGTTGCTCTGTGACGTCCAGTGCCTCTAGTTCTGCGTTCACGGCCTTCCTGGGTCCAGGCCTGATAACACCTTATTATGGTACGTAAGGATCTGTTAGTCCTTCTAGAAATTTCTCGTATTGATAAACCTGCATCCCGTAACCCAACAATCCGCCCTCTCTCAAACTCCCTAAGTTGGAGAATATGACCAAGTCTACGTACTCTAGGCATGATAACTGCTTACAGAACAACACTTTACAATAAACTATTCAGCAATAAACCGCAAATAAGAGCAAAAAATTAAAATAAACATTTGCACATTATCTAAAAAATTACCTTTAAAATCCAACAATTACTATACCGATTGGACTGAAAATTTAATCAATTTTTATTTACGATATGATGTATCTACATGCACCAAATTACTAAAATAAAATAATAAATACTGGGTGTTTACCTTTCTTTGTCACACAGTATACTTTATATTAATATATTAATATAAAACCTATAGGTACTAGTTCAAGTCAAATTATAATAATTATTATACAACTCCATAAATAAACCTAAAATATCACCTACTTAGTTAAACTTTACCTAAAAATGATGTAAAAAAAATACTTAATTAATTGCATACAAAAATAGTTTATAAAGCTCGGCGGCGAAAGCTTGTTAATTGCCTCGCACACATTCTACTGCCTCGGCAGTGAAATGTATGCTCGGCGATATGTGGTTTTTCTGGTCTATATGTACTATTTACCTATTATCTATAATGTACTATTTACTTTTTAAAGTAGGTACAAATAGGTAAATAGTATAATTTACCTATAGATGTGCCATATTTTTTTTTGTATATACGGGCTATTTTGTTGAAAATTATTTGGGGCGCCAGCAGAGCTGGGAATTATCTAAGATAAAAGATACAATTATTATCTTAAATACTTAAAGTATCTTAAGATACTTTATCTTAAATACTTTTGAATCTTGGTATTTATATTTAATAGTTTAGATACATATTGAAAGTATTTGTATCTTGTATTTTTAAAAAGTATCTTAAATACTTTAAAGTATTTAAAATACTTTTTTATAACTTTAAATACTTTACAACCGGTTTTTATTAGTTAAAACCGTCAATAACCTGAAGTGGGGGTGGAGACTGAAACAAAGCGCATCAGAGGGAGTAGTGCATTTACTAGTAGTTCAGTGGTGCATATCTTTAATGTTTTTTAAAAACTACATATATATATATATATATATATATTATATATATACATATATATATTTATATTTTATAGTTGTTATCTAATAATAATTTTATAGTTGTTATCTAATAATAAGAAAGGTAGGCAAAACAAAGCAAAAGTTTAATAGGAATAAAAGAGCAAAATATGGTAACAAATTTATACACATTTATCGCTAGTTTGTTACCAAAGAATGAAAATATTAAAGGGTGTGTGCTAGCTAAGCTTGACACTCAAGCTAGCACACAACCTATAAAATAATCAAATTGATAATAAATTATGTTGAGCACGATTAATTACTATTTATTGACAATGATTAGTACCAAGTTGGTACTACCAACTAATTGTTGAAATAAAGTCAAGCCAGCACACAAGCGTATTTTTTTGAAATAACATTAATTACTGTAAAATTATCAACAGGGGTAATAAAATGTAAAAAATGAGGTATGTTTGGTTCATTAGTTTTGGTAAACTATTTTTTTTGTTCTGATATAAATTAATTTTTTGTTCCTAATTTACCCTACCCTTACCTGTAGACTACAAGCTGTAGTTTGTAGTCGTGTCCTGTACCTGATACGTGATACCTGTACTGTACAGTAAGTTGTTTTTAGATTGTTCCGTTTCGTTTACAATTTTTCAAATTTGTATTTAATGTTTTTAGTTCTTATAATAAATATTTATTTTACGTATTTTAAGTTTATTGTATTATTTTTATCACATAACAGTTACTGCTAATCCTGTCTTCATATGTAGGTATGCTAAACTAATTTTAAATTAAATATTTTTATTCACTTTTCCTTTGAAAGTATTTGTTATCTTAAAAAGTATCTTAAATACTTAAAAATATCTTGTACTTTAGATACTTTTTGGATTTTTCAAAAATATTTTATCTTTTATCTTTTTCAAAAATATTTAGAAGTATTTAGTATCTAGTATTTAAATACTTTTAGAAAGTATCTTTCCCAGCTCTGGGCGCCAGGAATATAATTAAAACCTGTAAGTTCGCCACAAACTGAATAAGTTTGGGAACCCCTGCTATATAAACGATATTTTGGAGGTAAAAACAATACCTACTAGGACTCATAAGGTTTTGTTTTTTAGTGTGCAGTGTAGTGTACGTAAAAATAAAACAATTGATTTATTAAAATGGGTTTTATTAACTCAAATAAGTTAAGTCTCAACTTTTAAATAACATTAACAGGGTTCTGTTATATTTTGGACTACACATAATTTTTAGTGTATATACAATTATATATCTTTTTCATTTTATTAAGTTCATTGGCTGGGTATCCATTATATTAAATATACATATACTACGGAAAAACATTGATAAAAACTAACTATTTGTCAAATAACAATTGCCTATTGTATACAGTCAAAATTTGACTACATATATATATATATTAATAAATTTGTTAAACAACACAAGTGCACAAAATGTAAAACAAAAGGACTCTAAATACTTCAACGCAATTTCAATCAATGAAAGTGAGTTTGATATTACAGAGCACGGTCAATTCTATTAAAAATTCAAGCAGTTGACTTAGTTTGGATCACACCAAACACTAAAAACGATTGATTATATATCTTATTCTATCTGTGTGCCACAACACCAAACAAATAGGACAGATAGAAGGTTCCTTGCAAGCACGCAAACTTTTGATAGAGACATAACTACACTTAAGAACTTTGAACAACAACAATGACCAGAATTGGTGGGGATGTTGGTTAAATTAAAGTAATTAGTGTAGGCGAGACCGTGTTGGCATTGTCCAAATTGGGGGAGGGGCTATTGGTCATAGCTTTTCCTTTGCCGGCACCCAAATGTTTGGTCCCGATTGTTCATCGATTACCTCTTTTATTTGAGCGTAAAATTCTTCTGGTGTGTCGGCTTGCACAACAGCTAAAATAAAACAATACACAAGCTTAAAACATATTTTCTACAGATTTCTTCATTTAATGTGATGCGCTCCAAAAAAGGGACCTTAGCGTCCCAGCGGTATTTTTGGAAAAGAAAGAAAAGAATCTAAAGTTCCTAATCCAGAAATTATAAATTAGGAATTTAAAAATTACAAAGATTTATACTGACAATATTAAAGATGGCTAGTAATGTTTTGTCAATATTTTTTTTAAATTTTATACAGGGTGTCCCGAAAATGGCCCACTAACAATATGCTACGCATACGTATAAACAAATTGCAAATTTTTTGTTATCAAGTGTTTCCAAACTTAAAACATATCTGCTTGCAAGCGTAATACAAACGTGGTTTAACGCACTTCTTTGGACAATTTTTTTTAAGGCGGTGTCCGCATTTACGCACAAAATTTATGTACACTTCTCCAATGGTGTTGAAAAATTAATAGTACATTTAATAGTCTAATAAATATGGCATATGATATTTTTTGTATTTTATTTGAAAATATTTGAATTTTTTTATTAGTGTTACTTTTGATCGCTGATATCTTTGAAACGATTGATCTGAAGAACTTTGACCTTCAGATGTTTTTTGTAGAGCGTGAAATTGTCTATAACTTCTCTCGCCTGGGTGTTGCGAAAACAAACCATTCCAAATTTATAAGAATTCAAAATTAAAAAAATAAAAATTACCGTGTTATTGAAATGGAAAAACAACAAATAAATTGAGGCAAACCTTAATATTAAGGGCTCAATAGGCGCCAATATTTTTCAACACCCTTAGAAAAAAAAATAATTGTTTTTTTAAACACCCTAATTTATATATATATACAGTATGTCTCAGTATCTTGGAATCATATGGAAAACTTTTTTATTATTAATTTTAGGAAAAAAAGTTATTCTTCATAAAAAGTTCTGCATGGTGTAAAACTTAAAATGCAACCCACAAATATTAATTTTTTTTAGTCGTATACGAGGTATGTCAAAAAATATGAATTTGGCGCAAGAGTAAAGTACCTTTATATTTGACAATATCGAAAATTGTTATAAATAAAAGTTAATCAGAACTAAAAACTACGTTTAAATATGCAATTTCATATATTTACATTAAAAAATTAGGTTTTGTTAATTTTTACTAATCTTTCTATTTTAAATGAACATTTATCTGTTATGATTAGAAAAAACATGAAAACTTTAAGTTAAGTCAGGGGATCTAGCAGGCCAAAAAGTATTAGAATATCAACAAATCATTTGTTTATCAGTGAATCCTAGATTACATGTTACAGTTAAATTTGCATTGATATTGTAGACAAAAAAGAAAAAATATTTTTTTTAATGTAAATGGATGTAATTGCATATTTGAACGTAGTTTTTAGTTCTGATTAACTTTTCTTTATAACAATTTTCGATATTGTCAAATATAAAGGTACTTTACTCTTGAGCCAAATTCATATTTTTTGACATACCCCGTATACGACTAAAAAAAATTATTATTTGTGGGTTGCATTTTAAGTTTTACACCATGCAGAACTTTTTATGAAGAATAACTTTTTTTCCTAAAATTAATAATAAAAAAGTTTTCCATATGATTCCAAGATACTGAGACATACTGTATATATATATATATATATATATATATATATTAGGGTGTGCCAAAAAATCTCGATATTTTTTTTTTCTTGCTCTCCACCCAAAATATCGTAGAATATGTCCGAACAAATATTCTGTTTGCCGCTTAAATAACACAGAAAACTGACTTTTTTACCTTATTTATTCTTGCAACCTAGGAAGATTTTTTTTTTTCGTAAAATCCATGACTAATTCTTACAAAGCATTAAATTTGGACAAAAAAATCTTATTAAGCCGAATTTCTATTTTCATTATTTAATTTTTTACATAGCTTTAAATTTAAAGATAATAATACAAAAATGATGACTTTATACGCCTGTAACTTTTAGAATATTGACGATATAAAAAATTCGCCTAAAACTTTTTTGTGGTCCATCAGACAAGCTAAAAAATTACCATTTGACTTTTTCGTCTAACTTCAATAGTTAAGCTGAAAAAGGCAAAAAACGTAAAATTTTAAATTTAAAGCTCTGTAAAAAATTAAATAATGAAAATAGAAATTCGGCTTAATAAGATTTTTTCGTCCAAGTTTAATGCTTTGTAAGATTTGGTCATGGATTTTATGAAAAAAAAATTTCTTCCTAGGTTGCAAGAATAAATAAGGTAAAAAGGTCAGTTTTCTGTGCTATTTAAGCGGCAAAACTTCAGATTCGATGAGGGACCTCTTAAAATTGAAATTATGAGCTCCGCTTTTAACAGAATATTTGTTCGGACATATTCTACGATATTTTGGGTGGAGAGCAGGAAAAAAACTATTTCGAGTTTTTTTGGCACACCCTAATATATATACATATGTATATACCTTTTATTTATTGGTTATAGCGAAAAATATATCCTTTGGATGTAATATTTTACTTTTAGTTTACATAAAGGTTATATGCATGGATGCACGGCCGTCCCTAGCTATTTAGCCCAACACAGGGTTTACTTTTTTACAATATTTTTTTTTAATGAAAAAATCCATTGGTGACGAATAGGTATTTTAGTAAATTTTAAATTACTAAAAAGGTATAGTAGGTATCATATGTAAGTGAATCTGGAATCGAGAATAAGGATCCTAAAATTATTGCAAACGTTCTTCAAAGTTATTTCGCTTCTGAGCATATGAGATTAACAAACAATTAATCCCACAAATATCTACAATGCATTTTAAATTAAAAAAAAAAATTAGAAACAAAAATCCTATAGGTACATTTAGACGGTTTTGAAGTATGACCCGACCCTCCGAAGTCGTTTTATCAATATAGGCAAAAAATACACTGATTTTTATAGCTTAAGCAAACAATTGTTTGAAAATATGTAAGAATCATAAAAAACCTTTCTATTCCTCTGGATGTATTTACATATTTTCAATATTAATTAACATACTATATAAACTTTAGAGTGCCTAAAGTGTGTGTTTTGCTTATTAATACAACAACTTTTATTCTGGATTATATAAATGCTGTGGATATTTGTTGGGATTAATTTTTTGTTACTCTCATATGCTGATATTACATCAATGCTATTGAATATGCAATTGAGTCAGGAAGGTCATTTGTGGTTATTTGAAAACTGCTCAATTAATAAAATAGTACTTCTTTTCAATTTAAAACAACATAAAATACCTACTGCTTCCCCGACTATATGTATTAAAGTGTTTTCCTAATCTAAAATTATGTTACCAACCATCATTTTAGTTTTTAATTTTTTTTTGTGAAAAATTTCTAAAATATTTGTACATAGGTTTTTTAGAATTTATTTTCGATCCCAACCATTGTGGTTTTCGACCACTGTAGTTTTTGACCAATGCAGTTTTGGCTACAGTAATATATTTATATAAGGGTGATTTGTATTGAAGGAACATTTATTTTTTGTCACTCCCCAAGTAAAAAAATGCCCTTAAAGTTTTAGCTCTTAATCTAACTTCTAACTACTTTTTTCAATTTCCAATAGCTGGGCGACATTTTATGTGTCAACAAAAGATAACCTATATAAAAACATAATAATATCAAATGTACAAGAGACGAATGAATTTAAAACATTTAGGTATCATAAACAGTTTAAAAATATTTAAAAAAGTTAAAGATACATTTTTTTATAAATAAGGTAACAAAACCTACATTAGAAACTTAAAAATTCAACTGATTAATAAAAAACATTTTGGGTTAATAATTTTTTTAGTCTTTTAAAAAAATGGTATGTCCATCTTTCGGATCTCTTCTGGAAGCATATTTAATAGTTGTATTCCGCAATATACAAAATCGTTTTGAAACTTCTGCAAATGACATTTAGGTACCATTTTTATTTCTAGTTTTATAATTGGGAATTTGTGCGTGTGTAAAGTAGTTGGTCTGATTTTGGTGTATGTAGACAGTACCTATGTAGCAGCTTGAAATGGTAAGTATTTTAAAGATTTTAAAAAGTTCTCTACAACTTTTTGCTGGCGGTGCTCCTATTATTGCTCTAATAAACCTTTTTTGTTGTATAAATATTCTCAATACTTCCAAACATGAATTCCAGAACATAATACCATATGTGGAGATTTAACGGATGGCTGATATTGGTTTCTTCGAAAGGTTATTTATATGTTGAATACGTGTCATGGTACTATCTATGTATATGATCATATGAAACCCTAGCAGATGAATATTTCCAGATAGAGTAGGTTTTTTTAGTGAAAATATAAGTGTTTTTTCTTTATTTAGTTATAATTCGTTTGTTTCAAACCAATATTGTGCATTTTTTATTGCTTCAATGGACTTTTTTTTTCGCCTTTTTGTATTGCCAGAACTATGTATAAAAGTGGTGCTATTAGCATAAATTCATAATTTTGAAGTATTTAAATTTGCTGTTATATTGTTTGTATATAGGATAAACAAAATTGGACCTAGGATGGATCTTTGGAGTACTCCCATGTTTATTATTTCTTTTTTGGTTTGTCAATCTTTTTACTCAACTACTTGTCTTTTTTCTTAAGTAAGATGAAAGTATATTGTGTGATGGACCTCTGGTTCCATAGAAGTATAGTTAGTCAAGTAATATTTGGTGGTTTACACAATAAAATGCTTTACTTAAATCCAAGCATGCTACTTCTGTATCCTTTTTATCTTCAAAATTTTTAATAATTGTTTCATGACTTTAATCATAGCAGACACGTCACAGAGTAGTGTCTGTGTCCTCTGAGGGACACGGTCATTTTGTTTTTTTAAGCGACTAATAATCACTAAAAAAAATTTGAAAAAGCAGAAATAATTGATATTGGCAATTAGTTTTCAGATTTATTTGAATTTTCTTTTTTGAATATTGGTACTACTTTTGCCAACTTCAAATGGTTTGGAAAGGTTCCTTCTTTAAAACATATGTTTATAATATTGCTTAATTTCGTTTATAATTGTTTGTAGGAATTTTGCTCTGCTCTGCTCTGATAACTTCTGAGGGGTCCGTCTCATACAAGACCATTGTAGATTGGTATTTTATGTTTCTTAATTTATTAGCTATTTTTTTATGTTTGAATTGATAGGGATTTTGCTATATTTGCCAAATATTTTTTTAATTGGTCGCCTTCCAAAGGGGTTTTTGTCACCTTATTTTGCGTTTTTATAATAGAATTTATTATTTCCCATATTACTTAACTCTTATTATTTGCATTGTTTATTTTCTAAATTTGGATCTTGTTTTTTTGTTCTAGGTACACTTGTTTTTTGTTTAAGTTCATGTAGTTTTTATCTTTTTTTACAATTGGGATTGTATATGCAGATTCAACGTGATTTTTTAATTCTTCTATTTATAGACCTGTATACGTCACCAAAGTCATGCAAAAATACTGATTTTTATTAACACGTTGATGAACACAGACAAATTTTTGGCGGGACCTGCTGCGGCACTTGAATAATTCATACACCTGTTTTGCTAGAAAATTGCGACTGCTATAGCCGTCGTGTCATATTGGGCCCGACGGCATTTGCAGTCCTGTCCATGAACGTGTTAAAAATATATTATATTTTTAATAAAAATCAGTATTTTTGCATTTTACGGCAGAACGGTTAAACGTTAATAAGATTTTTATAGGAAAATCAATTTTCTATAAAAATATAGATAAACTAATTAGTCCTATGTTGTTTTAGGGTAAGTTGCAGGTAAAGAGTAAACATTTTTTTAATTAAAAATCTTATGGATTATTGCAATAAAATGCATAGTTTAGTCCTTTGTTGTTTTACGGCAAAACAGTTAAAGTTATAGGTAAAAAGTAAATAAAACTTAAAAGTTTAATTTCCTACAAAAAGTCACATGGATTAATGCAATAAAATGCATAGTTTAAAAGATATAAAGCATTTAATAAATTTTACTGTCAAATATTGATAATTAAAACAACATAGGACTAATTAGTTTAAACTAATTAGTCCTATGTTGTTTTACAGCACAACAGTTGAAGGTACAGGTAAAAAGTAAAAAAAATTTTATTGGAAATTTAATTTTCTACGATCTACGATTTTCTACAAAAATAGTTTTATGCATTAATGCAATAAAATGTATAGTTTAGAAGATGTAGACCATTTTACGGTCAGCTATTAATAAAGTTATTATTTTTATCGAAATTTAACTGTTAAATGTATTAAATGCGCTATACCTTTTAAAACTGCATTTTATTGAATTAATGCATGAAATCTTTTTTTATAGAAAATAATCTATAAAATCTTTTTTAATTTTTACCAGTAACTTTAACCATTTGGCTGTAAAAGGCAATAAATACTGATTTTTTTTATTAAAAATATGATTTTGGTGACGGATACAGGTCGAAAATATAGGTGGTATAAAAATTGTTGCAAGTACTAATTACTTATAAGTAATAATTATGTACAAATCGCACCTATGTATGTAAATTTAAAAAAATCTTTAATTTCCCATGTTATTTCAATGGAAAAACTACAAAATAGAAATAAAAGTACTTAGGAGTAAGATTAAGGGCTGAAACCATAAGGGCATATTTTTCTCGATATATTTTTCTTTTCTATGCTCTTAGTTATAGTATATTATTATGTGAGAAATAATGCAGGCTATTAATCACAAGGATGAGGTTTACATCTTGAGCCGCCAGGCAAGAGATGTAAATTATTATGTATTATGCAATAGGAGTAAAAAACTGTATTCTAAACTGACAGGCATTATGTTATGTTTATAATGATGTGACAAAATCTTAAAGAAAATTCAAATTAAATGCTTGAAAAAAAAATAGTACATGCCAAATTTACCACTTTTGAACCTTTTGATTTGTCTAATTTTTTTAAAATCTTTAACCCAACAAAAAAAAGTTTTACAAAAAAATGTTTTTTTTCAATTACCCATAACTTTCTTAACAATTAACTTAAAATTTGTTTAATGTACATTTCAGAAAAAAATACAACAAACTTTTCGATCTTAAATTCTATGAAATTTTTCAGTTTTTTTTGAGAAAAACCATAAATTTTTAATTTTTTTCTTCTTTTTCATGGATCAACTTTAATTAATTCTGCAAATAATGCTGTTAAATCCAGAGTGGGCCGACTTTCTTTCTATTTTTTAAATAATTTTTTTTAATGTTTTCCCAATTTATTTAAAGAAAAAATTGTTTTTATAATAAAATCAATTTTAGTACATGGTTCTATGAAATTTTACACAAAATTACACCTATCATAGAACAATGGTTAAGTAAATGTACTTAAATTGAATTTATTATAGAAATAAAAAAGTTATTCAATGAAAAAAGTACAAAGGAAAGTCGTCCCACTTTGAAAAAAGCGGCATTAATCGCAGAATAATTAGTAAATAAAAGTTGTTTTTTTTTAAATTAAAAATGGCATAGAACTTAACATTGATTTTTTTGTATTTTTTTTTCTGAAAAGTACATTCAAAATCAAAAAATTAAAAAAAACGTCCCATTTAGTCAATTTTTAAAAAAGTTATGAGCATTTAAAAAACAAGAGCCATTTTTTTGAAAAACTTTTTTTTGTGGATAAATTTTTTTTTTTTAAAATCAGCCAAATCGAAAGGGGTCGGGTTCAGAAGTAAAATACAATAATAAATAGTAGTAGCAATTTTGTATATATTTTTTAATATTTAAAATAACCTCCTCCTACAGCTTGGTATAACGTTAGTGCGCAATCTAAAGTTTACGGTTCAAGGGTTTTTCGAGAAAATATCCTTAAAGCCCTTTTATTTAATAATAAAAAATGCTCGAAAAAAAACTTTTATAGGGAAATTTATTTTTAAGTAAATAAAAAATATGTTGAGAAAGACCGTATATTTGTTAGTATACCCTGAAAATTTTGTACAAATAAAACGAACAGTAACGAAAATACAGCGCTTCAAAGTCGTCAAAAATGACCACTTTTCAGCAAAATAATAAAAAAGGTGTAATTTTTACCGACTTTGAAGCGCTGTTTCTTCGTTACAGTTCGTTTGATTTGTACAAAATTTTCAGGGTATACTAACCAGAATACGGTTTTTAATAGCATATTTTTTATTTACCTAAAAAGAAAATTCCCTTAAAGTTATTTTTCGAACGTTTTTTAATTATTAAATAAAAGAGCTTTAAAAATATTTTCTCGAAAAACCCTTGAACAAGTAAACTGAGATATAAGTTGAAGTATTTTTATACAAAATTTCATAAAGATTGGTAAAGGCGTTTTAGAGTTCGAATTTTTTTACTTATTATGCGTTAATTTTGACGGGCAGTATAGATACATTCTATGGAACATAATATATTATGTATTTCGTTATTTATACCTGTAAAATATTCGCCAAATTCTACTTCCATTTTTAAAGCCCTTTCATAAGTTTTTTTTGGCCTGATCCTCGGTCATCCTCTTGTTCATTTCCCTGCAAAAACAAAATGTTAAAAATAGAAATGATTTAAAGCTTAAACCCTTTTAAACTTACATAATGGAATCGACGGATTTCGGCTTCAGAAAAATGGCGATTGGATAAAGCTGTGCCACTTGTAATCTTTTAATTGCGTTACCGCTCACGTCCAGTATGCAATGTTTGCCTTTTTCCGCCACCTCTCTTACCGATGAGACGGACGTGCCGTACAAATTGTCGTTGTACTGACCCGCCTCAATGAACAAGTGATTCTGGATGTCCTTCTCCATTTGCTCCCTGGACGCTACGAAATGGTAATCTCTAGCGTCAACCTCATACTCGCGCTTCGGACGAGTAGTATCTAAAAATAGAACAACAAATTATTTAACTTATCCTCTAAAACACGTGAATATAAACTTATATTGATTCTATAAATGGACAAACGTTTGTCTTAATAGTGGATTCACTTTTCCTGGGAGTGAGATATACAGTGTGACCCATTTGTTTGCAACCCACTCCTGTAAAATATTTATTTACTGTGCGATTTTAAACGGATATGTTTTAAAGTGTAGATTTTGATAAACTGTATTTTACCTCTATTGCACAAGAACTACGGGCTAGGGTAATACAAGCCTGCGCAGATATTACTCCAGAAAAAATGTAAAAGTGAAGTTGAAATAAATGGTGGATTAGTAGAGGTGACGAAAATCTTGTTGTAGAGAATTTTTGGAATAAGTATGAGTATAAGTATGACAGGCCCCATCGATATAACCTTACAGTAATCTCCCAGGGATATTTTACCCCCTTTCCGTTCTCCTACGTATCCCGCCAATTCACAGCATTACCTGTGTTTGTTGGATCCGAAGTTTTTACGCCGGCTGGTAGATCTACCCTAGGAGGTCGTGGATGACAATGTCGATGGTTAAGGCCACTCCCGGATTTTTGTCGCCGGGTCGGGCCATACGCCCAGTTTAGGCTAGTGGAGAGCGGGACAAGGAGGGTAAATGTTGGTTTTTGGAGGACATTGAACTGACCTAAAACTAAGTACAATCCGGAATCCTCCTCAACCGGGGCTTTAGTAATAACCCCATTCAATTGGGATTTACGAATGGGGGTAGAAGTGTTAGTAAGCTGCTAGAACCTGAACGTCTCTGTCCGAGTCGGTTTCCGGTTCCTGGTAACAGCTTTAGAATTGCTTGCCCCCACGTGAGATACTGAATCTTGTCTTCAGTACCGAAGTGTTGACGGCCGCGACCCGCCGTAAGTGCCCTCTGCCTTTGTCGTTATTCAACCCCTCCTGCCGAGCACCGACTACCGACTATGTATCTTCTTTGTTTATTTTGATATTAGTGTATCAACCGTTTACCATTTAAATTTTGTTCTTTGCATTTTTACTTAATTATCAATTTATTTTAAATTAATTTACAAACTTAATACACTAATAGATAAAGCCGGCCCTTAGTGTACGTAATTGGAATACGGCCCTATTCTTATTTAAAAATTAAGATATTGTATTATTTTTAATTTACTGCTTCTACCATTTGTTTTTTTTTATACTCGAGAAGGTCTCGCAGTTTGTTTATTTAAGCAAAGATTAGAAAATGGTTTGCTTACTTACATAAGATTTATGTTTATTAAGTACTACTTGTCACGTCCTATACGAAAGGGAGTACCTTCGAATTTGCTTTACTTTACTTTGGTCTATTAATTGTAGGGTTCGTTAACCCTGTTCAACTCTTTTGTTCTTTCTTGTTGATTCTAAGGATTTACTTGGGAAGGTAAAAACTCACCCGTAGACTCGGTGAATTCTTATCTGCGCAAAACTTATCATCTGAATATCGTTCCTGGTTCTCTTTCCAGGTTCATGCCGCGGTGAACCACCTGTTCAGGTGGGTGGATCCGTGACTCCGACAGGTGGGGAGGCAATTCGCTTTACACTTTTAACTTTTCGATATATAGGTTTTAAATGCACTGCTTATGCACTGTATACTTGTTTATAGTTCAGAGCGGTGAAACGAACGTGTGGCCCGTAGAAGCGTCAAAGATAAACTGAGTTGTAGAGAATTTTTGGAATTATCTATTTATTGTTTCATTGTTGTTTTAACTTTTTATTGTGTTTTGTATGTGTTAAAACTAAGCACTATGTTACTATTAGTTTAATTTTGTTAATGTTTTTTTCATGAATAACTTGATAGAATAAATTTTTGTAAATAGTTATTGTGAAATTTTAATTTAGTTACAAAATAAAATTTAGTATAGGGTCGGTGAATCCAGTGCCGGGCATAGATTTTTTTTTAAATCGCTAATATGAATTCTTAAAAATTTACTCTCAAAAAGTGACATAATAGGCCTTGTATTTTGTAAAATATGGTGGTTTTACTCTAAAAATACAGTTTAATTATTTTATACTTTAAAACAAATCCGGTTAAAATCGCACAATAAATAAAGATTTTACAGGGGTGAGTCGCAAACAAATGGGTCACACTGTATACGAAATAATTATATAACCATTAATAAAATATATACCTATATAATTATATTACTATTATAGGTGTTTCCAATTGACCGTTTTGAGCAAGCAATGCAGCCCCAATGCTACAATAAGTGTAAAACCCAGGGCTGCATTGCGTGCTCAAAACCAAAGATAATACCCCTCATGGGGTGTATTATCTTTGCTCAAAACGGTCAATTGAAAATATATATTGAAAATATATATTAATATAATATATTCGGCAATTGTCCATGGGTTCGTTGACTTAAAATAAAAACTACATTTTAATTTAAGCCCGATTCATCAATTATTTTCGGAAATTTGATTTTTTTAATTTTCATGATAATAAAGATTTTTGCACATATATCGATCATATCTTTGGTTCCAATCGAGCGATTCCGACGAACAACTAAATATTTTTTTTGTCTTGAAAGAAGCTACATATTTTTGATATTGTGACATATCTGCGACATTATGATTCCCTTTCTACACTGTTTTTAATTTTTTTTTTGTAAATTTGTAAAAATTTAATAATTTTGTTTTTGGAAACAATGTTAATTTTTGTTTATTATTTTTATTTTTGGATCTTTAAACTATAAATTATTTACATGATTGATTAATTGATTTTCTTTCTTTTTTTTGAAGATTATTTATTATTTGTAAATGTCTTATACTTTTCTAAATTGGAGAATTGCTTGATCAATTTTTTAAACTACTTTATAGTTGAATGGTCTAAATATAAAAATATTGAACTAAACAAAACATTGTTGACATTGTTTAAGTCTGAAAATGGAAAAAAAATCAAAGTTCTAAAAATAAAATTTTAAAAAGTGTAGAAATTTTTTTATTATTTGGAGAAAAAATCAACTTGTCTCCGATATTTCCCAATATAAAACATATTTTTCTTCTAATATTTACCCACCTTACTTATAAAGAAAGTTTGTATTTGTCTATATTAGAGTATACGTTTTTACTTTTAATTATCGTAGTTTGATGCAATACCCAGTGTTTTTAAAACTTTTGTTCAAAAACAAGGCTGCCAATTTTTATTCTTAATAAATAACCAACTCGATTTGACTTTTGTTACCTGTATAATTTTGATTGGATAAGTAGTTTAGACAGAAAAATCTTAAACGGTGATTCCAGTGAAATTTTTTAAAATATTATTAAAATTAAACTTAGCTCCTGCCACACGACATTAAAATATATATTATGTGATAGAATTTAAAATACAAAGAAACAACATACAAATGACTTCAAAAAACAAACCAACGTCTCTAGGGAATTTAAAATTTGGTTTGGTATGAAAAAAGTTACCAACTTTAACCCTATGTTTGCATGCAACTGGCAATAAAAATCGAGCAGGACCGATATTTTGGAACGGCGATAGAGTTGCACCCAGAATTGCTTAAGCATTATTAAAAGTGTTTATCCTTCTTTATTGTTTTTTTGTAAAAAATATTCCACAATCTAAATTAAATGATATACTCGATGATTTTTAAACAAATTGTTCCTTTATAAAAATGTATGTTTAGACTGCTGGTATAAACGCAAGTCATTGACCATGGAGGTAAAAAACCTACCAAATTTACACCCACAGAAAAGTGTATCCTACAAGGGGGTCGGGCTGTATTCAAAGCGAGGGCAAAAAGGCCACTATGTTTATTATTTTTGTGTTGTAATTTTTTTTAACTGAAATAAACTGATCACAGAGTTAATAATAAACTGCGTATTTTGCAAGTTTAGCAAGTTTTGATCGTCTGGTTATTTCTGAATTTTTAAAAAAATACGTAACCATCATTGGTAACGTAGTACCAATAGGTACCAAGTTAATAAAACCGAACATATAAATGTTTGAGCTGTTATTGAGTTTAGTCAAAAATTTATATTATCCCTGCTTAAAATACCCCATAGAGACCTATACAAACTATTCTATAGGGCGCTACCGGTTTCAATATGTGCATTTGTCCAAGGTTTTTTCCGGATACAGCCCGATAGAAAATGTATAGGAAATTACCTATAGGCACACCATAACTTTTACATTTTCCCTATTGAGACCGATAGAAAATAACTCAATGAAGGATATATAGGGATATCCCTATAGAACAACCATAAAACATTTGACAAAATTTTATTAAAACCTATGGGGTCCTATAGGGAAAAAACTAATTTCTACATTTATGTGTATTTTCCCCATTGAAACCGATAGCAAATAAATCAATGGTGTATATCCCTATAGAACAACCATAAATCTCAACTATGGGTCCTATACAAACCGATACACCCTATAGAAACACCATACATCCCTATACAAATATCTATCGGTTTAAACAGGGTCTCTAAGGGGTATTTTAAGCAGGGATGTTTTTTCAAAAAATCTTAGGTTTAAAATGAGGAGGTCCATTCCAAAACTCGGCATATCCATATTAGTTGTTTTTGAGCAAAATGTCAAAAACCTTACAGGTGAGTACTAACGCATATCAGGCCAACACAATAATTTAAACGAAATATATAGGCATAAGTAAAACATTTATATACCTTGATTAAAAAGGTATGGCTCCAATTTAAAATAATTTAAAATTACATACGTATATGCCGAGTTCTGCATTATATAACCAATAAAAAAGGCAAGTTTTCAAACGATAGTCAATTTGTAAATGAATTTTAAATGGAATAAGGTGAATTTTAGAATATTATGAACTTTTAAAAAGTGGATAAGCCGAGTTTTGGAATGGACCTCCTCAAATAATCTTGGGTTTCTTCAAGCCACTGAGCCAACAAAAAAAATTTTGCCTAAAAGGCCGAAAAACAAAAAAAGCTTACATTAGTATTATGGCATGTTAAATTACAAGACCGTGTACCAATCTTCTTAAAACAATCATAATCTCGAATCAGTTCGTATAAGTATATTAACATTAACACTTTTTGTAGTATATTTTAGTACTTACGTGGAACGCAGCTGCCAAATTTCTCTGGAAATTCCGAAATCAAATCATCGTTAACCCTGTCTTTCATGGGACCCAAAATAATAACGGGTCGGGTATAGCTAATCTGCATTTGCTGCACCGGTTCATAGGACAAAACACATTCATCGTTGCCTGAAAATAACAGATAAAACCATAAAGTAGTTCTTACAATGAAAACTACAGATGCCCTGATTGGGTCTAGAGAAAAAATGTTTTCTATAGACGTTTATTAAAAAAAACATACCCTGACTTGATGCCCATAATAAAAAACTTTCTACAATCTAGGAAGCTAGTAAAACTTGAGCTATTAATTATCAAAAAACTACTGTTACATAACAATTTAACTAACTTAAAAAGACATTCACAGTTTTGAATATATCCTATAAAAAAGCTTAAACTTGTTAATTTACACTGGTCAACACGTTTTTGCACCTTTTATGTTAATGAGTTGTCTAAATATTTATAAATCAAAGCTTATTTTCCAATAATTTAAAACATAAAGTAATGTCAATTAATAAGCAACTTTGACTAAAAAATTAATTCTATGTATTGAAATAAATTAGTTAGTTTTGTTCAAAAAATGTATTAATTTCTGATTTAAAAAAATGCACCAACGCCATATAAAAAGATTGATTTGTAGTAGTTTTTGAGTTATTAAGTTTAAAAAACTCGGCAAAGCTGTCTCTGATGAACTGAAATTTTGCACGTTTAAAAATAGTTGCTATGGAAACAATTCTAATACGGCCTAAAGTTGACATGGTTGAAAGATGAACAGGGTGTCCTAAAAGTAGCGCACATGATCCACAGACCCAAGGAACTCCAGAAATTGTTAAAAAATGACAATTTAATTTTGAATTTTAAGCGTTAATTATTGTCTATAGTTTGATAACAATTAATAAATTTACTAATAATTATTTTAATAATCAATTGTGGGCACATCATGTTGCCAAATTAAAGTAAAAATTGTAAATTTCGGTGGAGTTTTTGTAATAATTTTAAGAAGATTCCTGGGGGCCTGTCTATCACACACACTTAAGGTGATACGCAACTTTTGGGACACTGTATATTTTGAATGTGCTAAAAAATCAAAACTTTATATTATCATAACTTTGTTATTATAACCAAATTTACACTTTAAGTACTTAAACGAAAAAAACTAGCGTTTATATTCTTACCATTTTGCGTGGTATGACATTAGTGCGCTATTATCGACACCTAGTTGATCATTTAAACATTTTGTTATTCTTGTAGACCAATGCAATCAGTAGATTTTTTTAATTATATAATTCCTTATTGTGAAAGTTTAGGTCCAGGGTAAAAAAATTAATTAATATGCCTTAGGATAGAAAAAAATTGCAAATCCGCAAAATAAAAAGATAGACCACACCTACTTACGTTATTAAATTAAGTACGTGCCAATACTATTTTAATGCAGGGGTCTCTATTCGCTTCAGGAGGCTTACTTGCACATTCGCTCTGTATGATTCAATGTTTATTATTTGGAAGTTATACTTTTTAAAAATTCCATACTTTGAGCTTATTTAAAAAGTATACTTAAAAAATTACTTTAAATAATGTGACACAATTTTAGTTTTAGCCATATTGTGTCAATTTTGCTATGGTTAAATTCTATAGATTTACATGTATTTTCTTTATAAAATAGTGTTAATATTTTTATTTATTTAATTCGATTAAATTTTAACATTATCTATCTACCAAACAAAAAATCTAAAGCATCTAAATTAAAAATAACAAAAATAATCTAGCAATCTTTGGAAATATAAAATAAAAATTATTTACAAAATCAAAAGAAAATTGTATTATATTAGATAAAATTATGTTTAACTTTTAGTTCTGAATAGTTTTTTTTTCAAAAAAAAAAAACCGACCAAACAAATCTGGTCTTGTTAATATTAATTTATTTCAATCTTAGTTAATTTAATCAAAAGATTGCTAAGAAGATCTAAAATTTAAACACGTCATTATTAGTTTGCTACGTTAGTTATTTCCTAAACAAACCTAAAACATTAAAGGAACGATACATTAGTCACATTATTTTAAGCATGATGATAATAATAACAACAGACTTAACTTTTTTTGAGTGCGGGTCGCTGTATATTTTTTTGATTTATAGATTTACTGTTTCCTTATGCAATCATACATAATTTTATATTTTACTTAAACATAAATCAAATTATAGTTCTCTTTTTGTTTTACTTTTACACAATTTAACATTTTTATAGTTTCCCCAAAATGGAGCACTAACGCGATTGTATAATAATTTTGTATTAAATTATTTTAACAATGTCAACCTGTGCTACCAAACTATAGTTACTCATCGGATTGTTTAGATGGTATGACGTTAATACACCCTGTCGAGCAAACTTTGTATTCTCTGATACAATTAGAAAAAGTATAGTGTTTGACTATTGAGAAATGACCATTTCTATTCGGAAGAGTAACTTCACTCGCCTTCGGCTCAGAATTGCTCGGGCATTAAAAAAGCCGATTTTGCAGACTCCCAAATTAGGTTAAAGTGAAAAAAATACCAAAAAATAATAAGAAACCCATACTCAAAAGTGTTGATCAGTGTAATGATAAATGATTAAAATCGGTTTAGTGTTGCGCAATTTTTAAGACGTATTATGTTCTGTTTTAATTTAAAAAATCGTTTAAAAAGAAAATATTGCAATATGCAGAAGAGCCGTTCCATTCAAATAGCATTAATGAAATCATTCCATATATAATTGTGCATAGAAAAATAACTTAACGGGCTCCAAATTAATGTTAAAAAGATATTTAAAGGAATTAAAAAAGAAAATACTTCTTTTTTTCGTAAATTTAAAAGGAATATTGTTTATGTACTTAAAATTGCTTAGGAATGATAAGATGAGGTTAGTTAAGATTAGGGTGTCTGTTATTTACCAAGTTGATTTTTTTTTCAACAGCGCAGCCTAAATTTTTAGTTAATTATAACACCAAAAAAGTTCTTAATATTAATATTAAACCTTGCCGAAAACACGATACATTTTTTCTTTGAATAACATGGTATTTTTTTACTTTTTACATTTAATTTTTTTTTCTCTTAAACAGGTAGGTAAATATAAAGTAATATCCAATACATATGGTAGAAAATTAAACGCTCTTCAAAAAAGCTTTTCTACCAATTTACGATGAATTCGTAAGTTATTTACAGTCAGAGTTAAGTCCATAGTTAATATGCCTACTTGTGCACTGGGGTAGACCGAAAAAGGTCGATTTTGAACTACGGCAACGGGGTGGGTGTCAAAAGTTGGGGTTTTACTTTAGTTACAACCCTGAAAAATACTAAACTATAAAGATATATCTCGAGTCTGCGCAAGTGGCCTAAAAACTAGATTTTTTCATAAAATTTGTGTTTTTATAAAAAATAATCTGAATGATACCAAATTAGTGAACCTAGTTTAGATAAGGCTGCTAGCAGACTACTTTAATGTTATATTAAAAATACATACATAAAACCTCTTTAAAATAATTTAAAAAAATGTCGATTTTAAAATTTTGTAAGGTTATCTGGATAATTTAAAAATAAGTGAAGACTTTAAAAAAATACTGTTAAGAGATTTTATGTAAATTTGCAGGCCCTGCCCTTAATGAAATATTATACGTAATTTTTAATAAATCTTAATAATAAAAAAATGAAGTTTACCTAAGAAAACCATTTTAAGTACCTATGATTTGTTATGTTTATATTTTAAAATATAATCATTGCTAATTAAATTAAAATAAATTTCTTGGGTAAATTTTATTTTAACTAATTATGTTATTTAACTTATATCAATAATATTAATTAACAATTACGTATAACATTAAAGTACAGATGATTGTCTTATTTAATATAAGCGGGGGTTTTGTGCAAATTTGTAAATTTCTAACAAAATTAATAAAATTTGTATGTATTTTTTATATAACAGTGGTCCTCTAGCAGCCTTTAATCCTTACCTAAATCAAGTACACTAATTTGGTATTATTCAGATTTTAAATCTACTTGTGCAGGCTCCCAATATAACTTTTTAATTTAGGATTTTTAAGGGGTTATTAAGTACTTAATTAAACCCCAACAACTTTTGACATCTACCCCGTTTCCGTATCTTTTTCCACATACTCTATAGTGTCCGACCGAAGGCTTCGCCAACCTTCGGCCAAAAAAGCACATTCGCCAGCCTCCGAAACTGAACGAAAGAAATATTACGATTTACGAATGACGCCGACTTCAGCGCAACCTTAGTTCTTCATACACGAAAATTTTTGGAAATGGCAATGTTTTTTTAAAAAAATCCACATTTTCCACAAAAATAAAAATATCGAGGTGAACCAAAAACAAAACTGTTAAGAATAGATGTCACTTGATAAATAAAACTTAATTTAAAACCATACACGGTTTTGCCACTCTACAGAGTGTCTTAAACTTATGGTAAAAAACATCTTTTTGTTTAAACCTGTATATTATAAACGTACGTCTATTTTTAGTATTTTTTTAAAATGTGAGCGATTGTCCATTAATTTATCTACAATATTCTTTAATATTCGTTTAAATTCGACATCAAATAAAAAAGTTATTTGCGATTGAAATTCATCGAAAATTTGTGTGGATCGATTATTTTGCCTGTGAGTGTATTAATATTAATAACTTTTTTGTTTTATATTTTTTAGGGTAGGTATAAACTAAAAATTTAAGGGACGCCGCTGGAAAAAAAGTTAAATTGGTAAATAACGGACACCCTAATAAAGATGAACGCAAGACGCAGACGTTTTGTGATAACACTAGACAACAAATACCAATATTTTTGCCGTTAATTCAAATTAAGAATACCTTTATGTATGTTAAGTATAAAATGTGATTTAACATTTTTTTAAATGACAGTTTTAGTGATAAAAATTAAAATTTATGGGGATATAAAAGACAAAATGTTAAAATAAATTAACGGAAAAAACCTTGTTGAACAGTGTTGTTAAAATTTGAAAATGATTTAATAAATTTTGTCGCTCGGATCAGTGCAAAAGGGGCGCTGACTTCGCCATGCAGTCACAACACTAAGACTTACTGTCATCATTACTATCATTATTCTCCAGATAAATTAACGTTACTTCTTCCATATAAGGTAGCTCAACGCGATATAATATTTCACCTGTACTATATGAAACACAGAAAGAAGCAAAAAGAAAATTCATGTAGTTAACCAAATAAACATAGGATCATTTTTTTCATAGAATACGTTTAAATTAAGAGTAATACTGTACCTTCGGTATTGGCGTCCTCCTGAGTGTAGCAGAGCATAAATGCTGAAATTAAAATAAAAATAATCTATAATACCAACAATTACATATACTTTTTACTTTTTAATAGGGCTTTCAGTATAGATTTTGTTAAAAAAACAACGTTTAGGTATATACATTGATATCTCCACTGAATTACCTTTAAAACAAAATTAAAAATAAAACATGGAAAAAAACATACAAGCAAAAAATAAAACTCTTTTTAGGAAAACAATTTAAAAGGATAATGTGTAGTAAATTATTTATTATTGGTAATTAGGATATATCCTATATATATGTATATTCATTTTCTGTACTTGTAAGGGTATTTATAAACTTTTGATGACGTATTATACTTATATTGGGTGTTCTTAATGATAAGCGGTTTTAAACAAATTATTATTTGATCTTTTTTTTAATGGACAGTATGAATTTATATTTCTACCCGCGTGCGCAAATAAATACTTACTGCACGCATTTGCATGCAATGTTGTACATTATTTTTCCTATGACTGTCATAATAAAGAAGAAAATTAACACTTTAACTCTGAAATGTTTCGTACCTTTTTGCTGATTTTACGGGTAATAAGTTACGCTTGGGCGGCTAACTTCATTATCTGCTTTCTCCCACATGTCGCACAATATAGGTACTATTATTATAAAAAAAGTGTTACGAGTATGTATTATGTTTAATAATGCAATAATATTATTATGCAACGAGTGTGATAAACAGTATTTTAGTCACGAGTTTTAATTTGACACGAGCGAGTGTTTAATAAACGAGTGTCTAGATAACTCTATAAAACGAATTGCATAATATACTTTTTCTATAAGGAACACAAAAATACATGTTTATTCGCATTTTTCATTAGGGCACTTTATTTTGAAGACAAAACCGATTAATAAAGAAGTTGACAATTGACAACTAACTAAAGCTATTTTCATCCTGTGACTAAAAAGAACGAAACCCGTTGTTGCTAAGTTTGGGACTAAAACCTTTATTAAAATTCTAAGACTAAAACGCAAAGCTTGTCAATATGTATTTAAAAGATCACTTTACATCATGCTAACATATACTATAATAGTATATTATGTATCAAGTTTGATAAAAGCCATTTTATACTTAAATTTAATTTAGGCACGAGCGAGCTTGCGAGCGAGTGCTTAAATTAATGAGTGTATAGAAAAATTTATAAACGAGGTGCATACTATAGGTCTACGACAATCTACGATTATAAAGGTTATAAATCTAAAAGTATTTCTTGAAAATTGACAGTGTTTCACAGTGAAAGTAAAGAAAATGTTTTATGAGGACTTTACAGTGGAGTCCGTGCCCGAATTTAAGTTATAGTTTACTGCCGTCAAAATTAAAAGGTCAGTACAATGTTCATATAAACTTTTCAAATATTGGCGTTGAGAAACTATTTAATACTTTTGTATTTTTGTATTGAGATAATAAAATAATTTTCACATTTAGTATTATTTTACAAAAAAGGCACTTTATTTTAACGATTGTATGACATTTGACAACTGTCAACTAACTTAAAACTAACTTCAGCCCGTGACTAAAAACCTGTTGCTAACTTCAGCCCGTGACTAAAGAGCCATAAAGCCACAACTTGTCAATGTGTATTTAAAAGGTCACTTAGTGTCACGGAAACATGTACGATAAAGGGCGTTTTAAAGGTGGGAGAAAAACTATATTAATATTAAATCTTTTGAGTGATTGCATATAAACTTTGTTTCAAACCGCTTGTCATTATGGACCACTTGATAGACTTCTTATTTAGTGATATTCTTTTTTGTTGAAAAATACCTATTTGTGGTAAGCCATACAGGACTTTTTAAATAAAAAAGAATATTTTTCAAGCGAACAATAATTTTTATATTATAAGACTATTTAGAATATATAGAAATACTTCATATTAATACTAGTTCAAAAGTCAATTTTTTAAACTACGTACAGAAACAAAGCTAAAATGTCATCATGCCAGTTAAACCTAACCTAAAAATAAAGTGACTGAATGTTAAAATAATTATATTATATTATTTAATTAAATAAGCAAATATTAGAAATATTCCCCAACACCAAAACAAAACACAAAGAGCTTAAAGTAGGTACTTTTCGCTAACGATGATGGCATCTTCAGAAGCGAAGTTACAGTTCAGTGTTTACTGTTCAGTTACACTTCGCTTATGAACACAACAAAGTACTTTAAGCACTTGGTGTTGGGGAATATTTCTAATATTTGTTTAACGTATCACGAAAGTTGTCCTTTTTTTCAAGTAAATAATTAAGAGCTTTAAAAAAATGGTATATAAAATACGGCAGCGAAAGCTTATGAATTGCCTCGCACACAATCTACTGCCTCGGCTATCGCCTTGGCAGTGAAATGTATGCTCGACGATATCTGCTTCCTCCGCCTGGTCAATGTACAATGAGGCCAACTTTAATCTGTATTACATTTATATTGCAGGCACTGATAAATACAAAATAACCACATATAAATCGTTAAAAAATAAAAACACTTAATAATGTTATTCTAAAATTAAGTAAATAGAAAATAAACACATTTAATTCGTTAAGAAATAATAAAAACACTTAATAATGTTATTCTGAAATTTAGTAAATAGTACTTACATGAAGGATTTTGTTCTTTTTCATTAGCAGAGTTAGGGGTAGGGGTGGTAGAGGGGGATACTAAAAGTTAAAATAAAAAAATTACCTATTAAATAATAATAAAAAAACAATAAATAAATAAACATACAACAGTGAAAAACAAAGAGAGAAATGTATGATAACAAAAAAACTAAGATATTATTTTAAGATCACTTTTTTTAATAAACTGGTTTAAAAGGGATCCTGAACAAAGCAAATCAATGACATAAAAATGAGTCAAACTTACGTTCTTGGTCTGAACCGTCTTCGGATTTGTCATCTTTGCTCTTCATAAAGGGGAACTTTCTACTGAAGGTAAGTTTCTTTTTTCTATCTAATGTTGATTGCTAAAAGTACAAATTTTGTATTATAAATCAGGCGTTTAATTTATATCAAACACAGCAAAATCTATTTGTGTGAAAATACAAGTCCAGTTGAAATAATTAAGTAAAAATATCGTACCTTATAATATTGCCCATATTAAAAATGTTACTAAAATGGAATTTGTTGGGCTTGATATTAGACCTCTGAACTCTAACAATATCCAATATATTACAATTTTTAGGATAATAAAGTAAATATAAATAGCAAATATAACTTGTATGCAAAATTTGTCAAAACTGCATTAAAACCATGCAATAGTTAATTGAATTATTCTAGACTTGCGATTTTAGTAAAATTTACTAGACTTCAAAGGGTGACTCTTTTATGTTATGTGTATGTAATAATCTTAAGATTATAATTAATAACAACATATAAATTTATGGTCTACAGATAAGGAAACAATTTTTAATCCAATAAGGGTCTATCAATGTAATAAAAAAAACGAAAATGTTAGTTAAAACGTTTAGATAATAGTTATAACTAAAGAATGAGCACTTTTAAAAATGCTCAAAAATGTTCAAAAAGCACTCGAACGCTTTTTAAAACGCTGGATATTTGAATTTTTCGGCAAAACTAAAAGGCGGGATTATAACATAAACCTGTTACTTTAAATCGATATTTCCATTTTCCGCCATAACTAAAAATCGAGATTATACCATAACCAACAAATTAGTTAATTTTCGGTTTACAAGCGTTTAAAATGCTTGAGCATTTTTAAAAGTGCTTGAGCATCTGCTATCTCTAGTTACAATTGTAACTAAATTAATAATTAAAATACTAATAAATATTTACTTATAAAATGTTTTTATATCTTGCCTTAATTAAAACTTTAACTTAAACAATATATAAAAAATTAATAAATCATAAAAAGTTTTAAAATCAACAAAGCATTTTTATTTATATTTAACTTTTATCATATATTTTTGAATAAATAATTATAAAATTGTATTCTTAACTAAAGCAAACTATCAACCACTATCACCAAATAAACCCAAAATAATTTTAAAAATAAAAAAGAATTTCAATGTACATAATTATTTCCTCCTCCATTTAAAAATCGTTATTTTTATCTGTATTTTTCAATAACATTTAATATAAAAAACATCATTAGTGTCTTACCTTTTCTAGTATATTAGGCATATGTCCCTGGAATTTAACAGATCTATCTCTAGCACGCTGCTTTCTCTCCCAGCGCCTTTTAGAGGGAATAATTCCCATACCTACAAAGTTAATTAAAAATTCAATTGACACACTTTTTAAACAGCCTAATGTATAAAGAAAGGTGACAATTTTAATAATTCCAAATGTGAACTTGATATATGACATTTTACTCCCTAATTGATTAATATTTATAAAAAAAAGTCTCCAATTTTAAATTTTTATATTAAATTTTGTATATATGGAGATTTAGACTTGTTTTTTCATGAAATTCATCCTAAAATTAGAAATTATTTGTTAAAAAAGGTATGCATAAATTTTACGTATAAAATGTAATGTAGTAAATGAACTATTAATAACTGCTTTTGAATTTATGTGAATTTATATGTGTATATGTTACGGCTAATGTGCAAACTTGGATAGTTTATAAACTAGCTGGATAGTTTATAAACTAGCCAAACTGTCAGCTATTTTAATTGAAAATGTATTTTCAACTAAATTAGCGGCTAGTTTACAAAATAACCAAGGATCTTGGCTAATTTACTTGAAATTATTAGGGAAACTAAAATAGCTGGATAGTTTGTATACTATCCAATTCAATTTGGCTAATATGAAAACCAAAATTTCTAGTAACACAAAATAGCCAAGCTTTAGCTAGTTTGTAAACTAACCAACTAATTCTCTGGCTATTACCCATTTTAGTTGGGTTTTTTGCTTAATGGGGCGGGGGGGGCCCAATGGGGCGGGGTCGGTTGGGTTGTGTTGTTGAGTTTGGGTTGGTTTGGGTTTTTTTTCTCATTTTTGACCATTTGACCTATGGGGCGGGGGGGTCAATGGGGCGGGGTCGGTAGGGTTGTGTTGTTGAGTTTTATAACAAGGAAGCGTTAAAATTTTGCCTATGATTCATTTTAAAAACGTTAAAATGCACAAAACAAATCCGGTTAAGCCGGCAAAACGAAAAACAATGCCGTAACCTCACTTTTTTATTAAATTAGCCAGAGAATTGGTTGGTTAGTTTACAAACTAGCTAAAGCTTGCCTATTTTGTGTTACTAGAAATTTTGGTTTTTATATTAGCCAAACTGAATTGGATAGTATACAAACTATCCAGCTATTTTAGTTTCCCTAATAATTTCAAGTAAATTAGCCAAGATCCTTGGTTATTTTGTAAACTAGCCGCTAATTTAGTTGAAAATATGTTTTCAATTAAAATAGCTGACAGTTTGACTAGTTTATAAACTATCCAGCTAGTTTATAAACTATCCAAGTTTGCACATTAGCCGTAACATATACAACATGTTGACAACAATGTATGTAAAGTTTTTGTCATAGAAAAAGGATATAAGAAGTGCGCCCTCTGTGTTAAACGAGGGAAACACGTCTATCATGACTCCCCCTAGTTGATGGGCCGGACTCAGCTCATATTGATTTTGACATACCAGGGCCGGCTTTTAAATTTTTATTTTTTTATTTTAATAATTTTTAATTTTATTAAAAAAAAAACAAAATAGTGAAACATTTGTTTATTTACAATAAAAATCCTAATGCATTATGTGAAAAAATACGATTTTTAAAATATTCTGTGACTAAAAGTGTACAAACTATATACAATGATTACAATTGTAGAAAAAGGCTATATCATATTTTGTTTTTATAAATTTGAATATTGTACATTCCTAAAAATTGTCAAATATCAACATAAAATGTATCAGTCCTAAAAATCTTACAAAAAAAGAGTTAGTACAGGATCTAGTGGAATTAAAAACAAATTTAAGAATAAAAATACTACCCCTTAAAAATTTAAACAAAAAACGAATATTCTTAACTAAATAATATTATATGCATTATATATGTATATATTTTAAGTAAAAGTATGTATTTACAAAAATATAATGACAATAATATTATTTCCTTGCAAAAATATCTTTTATTAAGATATTAAAAAATAATGCATTACCAAAATTCAATTTAATGATTAACATATTTTGGAATTTTTATCATAGAAAACATTGTATAATTTAAAGCCTATTCAATTTGATTGATTATAGTTTGTAGTTCACAGGAGTTAACTACTGAACAACATCTTGCAAAAGTATCTTCTTTCTTCAAATAAAGATTCTGTATACATGCTATAGCATGCAGTTTTTATTTACAAAAGTTACTATGCAACTCGAATACCAACGTTTTTCAATAGTAGATTGGGTTCCATTTGAAGTTATTAGCTTGGATTTATAAGAGTTGATTTGTATTGTAGATTGTGTATGTTCTCAGATTGGTTTACAGCAGATTTCATATTCCCACTTTAATTGTAGTTTGTATTGCATTTATGTAATTAAGATTTATGTTCTTAGGTTGGTTTTCCATATTTTCCTGATTCCAACTTTATTCAAAGATTTTGTTGAATTCATGCATGAATGTAAGTATGGTTTATGTTCTCAGGTTGGTGTCCCATGGCTTCCAACTTCCAACTTCGTTTTTAAACTAGGTATATGTCCTGGACCCAAAATATCATAAAACTTGAAATCACCAACTTTCTTTGTGGCACAAAGTTTGTGAAACCTTCTTTCAAGTAAAACTAAAAAAATATCATTATCATTAGTAAAATTTTAATATTAATAATAATAGTCATAATAAAAATATTACCCAATGCTAAATTTAATTCAAAATGTTTTTTCAAAGATTTTACAAAAATACACCAGCATTTTACTTATTTACTTAAAGCAGAACTAACTACCTATTCTTTGTCCTTAGTCATGAAAATCAACATAGTTAAAATAGTTCTGCTTTAAGAAAATACATATTCTGTACAAGTACATAATGTAAATTAGGTACATTTATTAGATATAAAGGTTATAAAAGCCTTTTAATATGTAGGTAGATCTTTACAAAGTAGATTTAAAATGAAATTGAATATTTTTAAAATATAATAATTAGTAAAACTTGGCTAATAATTTATTTATAATTTATTATTAATAAACTTATAATACCCATTTAATTTAACTAGACCTACATACAAACAAAAAACCTATAGGTACTATATTTAAAACTTGTCGGTTTTTTAGCCTTATTTTAAAAGTTATACCTACATACAAACATACATACCTGTATACCTACATTTAAACAAAATACTTACGTTTTCAAACTACATACATATATAACATAATATGTTATATATTATATGAAATATCAAACCCATAAGGCATAAAACTTGGAAACAATCTACTTTTTGGAAACAATATACTTTTTCTATGAAGAAAATGTACCATAAAATTGCACAAATCCTACTTAATAATAATAAACAGAACTTGCTTTGACAGTTAAACAATTATTGGTTTTACGACGTTGCCGAAAGTGGTACGTTTTGTTTTAATTACAGGTTACTGTAATCTGTGCACGAACTGGCAACGCATCGTGGGGGAGTCATGTTTCCAATTCCCCCGCTTATGTTTCACCCCCCTGGTTTTTGTTGTTTTCGTGAATATTAATATTTCATTATTAAATGTGTTAGCAATAGCATCTGTTTTTATACGTTTGTTGATGACATTTGTTTTAATTGTTTCTTTTTTAAATTAAATTAATTTATTTACCAAAATGGACCAGCCTTGACATTAAAAGTGTATTTATCCTTCAATTTCAGATCGATTTGTATTGTTACAGATTTAACCATTTTATAATATTTAATTTTAAAAAATAATTTTGCGTTTTCCTCAAATTAAAGTTTTTCAATAATTATAAATTTAAAAAAATACCCTGTTCTTCTCCAGTATTAAGTACACGCCTTGCCTGCCACCATTCATCATCACTTGCATTGGTGACGTGCAGAATATCGCCATATTGGAAAGCCAAACCTCGGCTTGGCAAACCATCGTCCTTTTGCGGATCGTAGTCAAACAAAGCTCTAAAATAAAAATAATTAATAGGATATATTATAAAAGACTTATTTTTAATTGTAATAAATAAAATAATAACACTATGATAGTTCTAGCAACTTTTTTTCCTAACATTGAGTACTCCAGCTTAGTTTATCTAATTTCAAAAATGTCATTCGTTTTTCTCTAGGACGTCTAGGATTTAAAATAATTTCGTAATAAAATGCTCTGCTGAATCACCTCAAAATGTAAGTTTTTTTGTTAGTATTTTAATTATTTATTAAATTATTTTGGCTTGAATGTACTGAAGTGGTATAGGGCAAATAGATCATATTTATCTTATTTTATGTAAAAAAACAACACTTCGCTTCTGAGGATGCCAATATGGTTAGCAAAAAGTACTTTAAGGAGTTTGTGTTTTGTTTTGGTGTTGGGGAATATTTCTTATATTTGTTTATAAAAAAGTGTAACAAATAGATAAAGAAGATGAATATTTGCCACGTAATATTATTTTAAAAATATTGAATTTAAATTTAACTAAGGCAAAGGCATTACAAATATCAAAAAGTAACTTTTATTAAGATAACATTGCCTACAAGAATGGCCCGCCGGCGGTTCTAGGTAATTCATATTTTTTTAACCCTATGATAATTACAAATATGAACTTGTTTAAAATACACCAAATGATTAAAAGTCAAAAAGTTTCATGTTGAGGACAAATTGAGACATATTTTTATGGGAACCTTTTATATCAAATTATTTTAGACATCACAAAAACTTGAAGGAGGCTTTGAGTTTGATGTTTTATCATTTCCGTATACGTAATTAAGGAACTATACATGGTGTAGTTCTTAATTTGACCAACCATTTTAATTTTTAATATTAAAAAAAAAGGGATACAAAAATGTTTAACGACCGAACGCTCGAATAGATCTGACGTTTTGCAAAACCGCTTCCATAAATCATTTAAAAAATAATCAAAGACAAAGACAAAACTGTGTAACAAATTTAAGAAAAACACTTGTCGGTGCTGGAGGGGGATGCAACTAAAACATAGTATGTGAATTTATTAAATTGGTAATAGAACAAAAAAATGCAGCGATCGAAGTCATGTAAACAGATTAAAAGGGTCAACGACACATTAATGATGTTCGCACAATAGGGTTGGGTTGGAAAGAATCCACCAGGTAAAATTAATTAGTCTCAAACAGTCCAAATAAAAAGAAATAAAAGGAAAAAAGTATGAACATAAGGGCACACATAAGAAGCCATTAATCACTGGTACTAATTCAAATAGTGGAATATTGACTGTTTCATTTAAGAAGAGTAGCAGCATATTAACCAATCAAGTCCGGATTGTACTTAGTTTTGGGTCAGTTCAAGGCCCCCAAAAACCAAACTGTTGTCCCTCCTTGTCCTACACTCCACTAGCCTAAATCTGGCGTATGGACCGACCCGGCGACAAAATTCCGGGAGTGGCCTAAACCATCGACACTGTCATACACGATCTCCTAGGGAAGATTTACCTGCCGCGGCATGCCGGGGTGAAAATTCGGATTCACCAAACACAGGTAACGCTGTGGAGTGGCGGGATACGTAGGTGAACCGAAAGGAGGTAAAATAACCTTGGAAGATTAGTGTAAGGCGTTGCCGATGGGGCCTGCCATACGCTCTTATATACTAATATAATTATAATTGATATAAAATTATGTAACTTTAGAAAATCGATTTAATTCTTCCCAGATTGGATATTTTGCATTGTGTCACTTTATTCAAGGTTTTCCCAGGAAAACTTATTAATTAATCGTAATTAATATAATAATGTAATTTACTTGAATTTGTTATTTTATATTTTGTATATTAGGTTGCGAAAATATTTACATTTATTGCCATAAAAGTACTTACATTATACAAATAAAGAATATTTATTGATTAATAATTATTATAATTATTGTCACATAAGAATATATTTGTATTTTTAATTTTAATGTAGACTGCGAATTACTGTTTTTAGGTAGATTTATATTTATTAAGGCGAAAAATCTGTTGCTACCTCCCTGACTGCTAGTCTTGTGGGTGAGAGCCAGGTACCTTAACCACTAGAGCGTAGAAATAATAATATTATTATACAGGGTGTCCCAAAAGTCAACGATATCTTTTCAAGGAGTAATAGGTCATGGGTCAATAGCTCATGACTAATCAGAATATCAAAACATACACATAGTAAAAAATCATTAGTTTTTAAGATATTGGCATTTTTATGAATTTTGTGAAACTTGACACCTAAGATCAGTTTTTCGAGTGCCACAGCTACAAAATTCTATAATCTTAGATTATATGTTATGTTGCGTAATCCTGAATAGGCCTGCTATTAATTAAAATTCAAAATTAAACTAAAAGTAGATTTTGTAGCTGTGGCACTCGAAAAACTAATCTAAGGTGTCAAGTTTTACAAAATTCCTAAAAATGACTATATCTCAAAAACTAACGATTTTTTACTAAGGTCATGTTGTGATTTTCTGGTTAGTCATGAGTTGGTCTATCAGTCCTCCAAAGGATATCGTTGACTCTTTATAAAGGTTTTGTAAGTAGTTCTAGTGCCTGATCACAATTCGGCGCGCGTGGCCACAGTGGCATCTTCACCGCAAGGATTTGCGGACAACATGATAAACCCAAAAAATAAAAATTGATTACTTTTTTTGACAAATTTGAATTATAATACAAATTCTTTAAACCCAGAGATTTTGCTAGACACCCCCTATTTTTATCTCACGTAATTAATGGATGTCCCCTAACGAGAAATAGGTTTATCTTATAAATTTTTTTAAATATAAACCTTTTAATTCATTATTTTACTTCATTTATTGTATAAACAATAAAAGAAATTTACATATATTTTGTGTAACTATGTTGGCCAAATTTGCACCAAAATTGCCCAAATTTTCAATGCAATGCAATTTTGTACAAATGTCTACATTCAAACCAAGTAAAATTTACTAAATTTTTTAAATGTTACTTGGCTTTTTGGAGCCTCATATGTACTCATTAAAATGAAATTTAAGAAATGTCCAAAAAAAAGTAAAAAAAGTAAAATTTTAATAAAAAATATTCTAAAGTAAAATTTTAATAAAAAATATTCTATTATGAAACACTAGGAAAACTAAAATGGAAAACATAGTAAAACATGTCTCACTCAGCGATATAGGTATATCTCTGGTCTTACTACATTATTATACAGGGTGGGGTGGTTTGCCAGATATTAATTTATTTACCTGACATATAGAGATCGTTTTTGTGATGTTCTTAGCAATGTTCCAGTCGACACAGCAGGATTGGCCATTTGTTGTTTTAAATCATGTATTTTGGCTTCGAAACGATTGTATTCTTCCGGCCTGTATTGGACCACAATGTTAACTGTGCTGCTCGAACCCTAAAAAGTTCACATGTTAAAGAATGCTGCCTGGGTAAGAAATTTTAACTACTGATGCTTTTATTTTTCTATGAATACATTGGCCGCTCTATGATATAGAACCAAATGAATTATTTAAAAAAATTGATATTTTTTTTGCATTTTCTTTGTACATTACAGCAAGAAGATGCCCATTTAATAATCATAGACAGCTGTGAAACTTTAAAAGCGTTTTTTTTTTCAAAACTATGTTTTTGGATACAATAGCCTCTGTTTTTTAAAACCTCTCTATGGATTTAGATGGAATTTATACAGAATATTCTAGGCATTAAATCAAAGGATTGTTTATCCAAAACATCTAGTTTTATAAAAAATTACAGAGCGATTTTTCTCCGACCATAGATAATCCTATAGTTAGGGTTGCAATATTGTGCACATTGTGCACCCCCCTAGAATTACATAATTAGGTACCGTAAACACGGGTGGCTTTAGCTCACTTTTAAACTTAAGCTTAACATTTTTGTGGTTTTAAAAATCATAAACATTAAATATTGTCTACGAAAATTTAAGTCTTGAGTTGCTCTTTCATAATAACTGGTTGCGGGTAACTCTGTCTCACAGTGTTTTTTCCTGATAAAATTAACTCAATATATGTACGGGATTACCGATAAAAAAAAATTAAAAACCGAACTGTAGTTAACCAAGGATCATTATTTTAAAGGATTGCGCCTAATATAGACATTTAAACGCGTGTATTTCTAATAGCTCTGCACTGATGCAATATAAACAATTTTAAAGTGTAATAAAACCCATATATTTCTTTAAAACACTGATTTTCCAGTAATATAAACTCAAAAGAATCGCTCAATTGACAGGTTTAGACCAACAAATTATAAATGTTAATTTTATCGAGCGCGAAAATATTTTTCATAAAAAGGTTAAAGTCACCCGCGGGGTGCAAAGCCACCAGTGGTTTTCGGTAACTGAACTTCTCCCAACTTTATCGCGAGATATTATACAATTTAATATAATATTAAAAATAGTATATTGGTTTACCGACAAACGAAGGCATTTCTTTTTTTTAGTCAATAATTTATAATAATCAAAATTACATTTTATGTAGGTATATACGTAGTAAAATAAAAACATCAAATAATACCCAAACATATCTACTAGGCATACTAAACTAAACGACATCTCTAACCTTTACCTTGAGGGCCTGGGCGGCCTCCTCATGAGTGGCGTTTCTTAAATTCACCCCGTTAACGCTGAGTATCTGGTCGCCCCTCTTGAGCTCGCCGCACAGGTCTGCGGGTCCGCCGGCCAAAATAAAGGAAATAAAGATACCCTCACCATCCTCGCCGCCTACGATGTTAAACCCTAATCCGGAGTTTCCTTTCTGCAGGACCACAGTGCGGACGTCCCTGCAAAAAAAGAGTTTGGTTTGGTTAAATTGTGTTGATTTTGATTTAATGAAGTATCATTATATTGGTTGGTATTCAGAGATCAAAGTGCTAAAATCATGGTACTATAGAAGGAATCTCACAAAGAGACTCGACAACTATGTTGCACTCAATGTTTGTATTTCATCATTGTTAATACTGTTTGCATATTCTATATGTTTAGAACCTACTATTACTGCACTGAAATATAATTTTATTAGGACGAGAACATCAAACATGGATCAATATTGGAGTTTAATGAAATCAAAATAGAATTAACATATACATATATTATACAGGAGAGAAGTTTAGTTTATTTTAAATACAAAAAATATATCGTTTTACATTTTTAATTATTCTACAGGTTGTCCGAAAAATGTCATTATATAAAATGTCTAAAAACGGTTGATACCAAGTAGCATTATAGTGACGAAAACTGATATTGCAACTTTAAATTACGTAAAAATAGCTAAATCTACCACGATACAGTTGAAATATCTTCATATAATATTAGCAAAGTTGTAATCATGTGATTTGCATCAGCAGAATATACTTCATAGTTTTATAACTTTTTGGTGTATTCTAGTATCTGAAATGTTATGACCACTTTTGACACCACCTTAAAGTTGTCTACTTTAAAGTAGATTATAAATAGTAACGGCCAAAGATAATACACCCCATAGATTGGAAACTCTCCCAACACTGCCCTCTAGAGCTACAATACCTGAACTATATATATTTGTAAATTGCAGACATCTGTACAAACTCTATTTGCAAATGTCAATGTCAATCATAATTATTGATGTTGATCATAATTTTTGAATTATTAAATACATTTTTGCGCCTTAAAAGTGATAAAACGTGTTAATGGTTGTGAAATGTATTGTTGTTGGGTGCGGAAATGTAACCAATTCGTAAGTATTGACTATCCTGCCGTCCTACGCCAAAAAGACTCATCTCGTTATTATTAAATTATTCTCTTATAAGAGTTAGTTAAAATTTTAACTATACATACATTTTTAAGTACTATATCTCCTAAAAATTTCTAATTAAATTGAACATATCTTATGAAAACAAAAATAAAGCGCTATAATTTATAAAGTAAAAATGTGGAGTTGCATCTTTTTGGCTAAGCACGGCAGTATCGCTCTAGCGTAAAAATACTGTTTGTTAATTATGAATTATTTAGGATTGCTTGGTTAATGGTAATTTAGTCCAGGCCAAGCCCAGGCTACTTATGGTTGTTTCAAAACCAAGAGTTGGCAAGATGGATTTTTCACAGTTGGTTAGAACTTGCCAAAAGTCCATACTCAAAAGCCTTGTATAAATTCCCACATGTATATGTATGAGTAGCCTGGACTAAATTACCAAATTTTACAATATTCTCTTATTATTGAAGAATGAAGAATATTTTTTATGTTTGCACTCCCCAAACAAAAACATATTCATGTATACCGATTATGTATTTAATATGTACATATAGATGTATGTATTTTATTTTATATTATATTATTACTACAATAAATAAATCTTATATTCATACTTGTTTTATTTAAAATACAGCAGTAAATACAATATATAAAGGCACCCTACTAAGCATCAACATTCAAATATGGCGCCAATATATGTTACAGAAATCTACTTCAATTTTTGGCATTGCTAAGGGTATTGTAGACCTAGATGGCGTTAATTTACTTTAGCCTTTTGCCGCAAGCGCTAGTGCAGTTTCCAATCTATGGAGTGTATTATCTTTGGTAACGGCAACCAAACCACATCACTTAAGTATTACTTGGAAGTGGTAGTAGTAGTAAAGTGGCAACGGTTTCGGAACTTTTCCCAAACCTTGAATGTGGCAAAATTTGATTGGATTGCTACATGCTTAAGGACGTCACGCTTTCTTGGGGAATTTTTTACCCCCCTTCCCCCTTGTCATAAAATGGTCACAGCAGCTCCAACCCCCCCATATCACGTCACAAATTCAAAAAACTAACAATTGAATGATGATACAAATTGAAGGTAGTTGTGCAATTTTTTTTTTTTACATTTTTTAATTTTAAAAACGAGGTAGTAGTCCTAAAATACAAGATTCACATATTAGCCACTGTACTCCACTCTAAATTTGAAAAACTGTAATAGTCACATTGAATAAGTAAATTCTGAATAAAAAAACTACAGGAGAACAAAAATGTATTTTTTCAAATTTCCTTTCAAGGATTTTCAAAACATTTAATAGCAGAATGAATTGGCCTACAATCGGATTTTTTTTCTTTTCAGATGGAAGAATTTTTCCAGTCAAATCCAGATTATCTTTTTCGAGCCAGTCTACTTAATCGCCTGTCAAAATTGCCATCATTTCTAGTTGCCGCTTTGCTGCTACTCTTATTGGTCGATTTTTATTTTTTCATCTTTCGATTTTTCCTTGTCTAAAATTCGGTGTTTTTAAAGCATTACTTTTAAAGCAAAGTACGGGTGGCATGTTTTACAAATTTTTACTTCTAAATATGTCTGTACTGACGAACAAAATAAACCATAAGGAATAAGAGAGGACGCAAATTTTGGTAACATTTTTTTGTAAATTGAGACTTTTTATAATGAACAGCGATGGGACTTTAGCAGTTGAACTGCCTGGTCAGCAAAGGAACTTCCAATTCTGTTTATTCAAAAGAAATGGGAAGGGGCAGAAATCGTTGCGACAAAATGTTAAAAATTGAGCTTCTGGGGCTCGAAAAGCAACATGAATTATTACATTTTAGTATACCGGGTGTATCTGAGAATAGGCGCACCCCTGTAACTTTTTTATTTATAAAGATAGACACATGAAATTTAGCATGGTTAATTAGGATATAAAATGCCACTTATAACAGTACAAAATGATTTTTTTGAACTTCCGGTTTCGCCGGAAATGATATCAACTTTTGATTTTTAAATGGAACGTCCTATATATTTTTACATATTTAGAATCCTGAGTCGGACAGCATCCTCAAATTGACCTTTCGACGTTTAGTCATCAGAAAATACATCATCATAAAGATCAATCTAGAGTGCTTTAAACTATTTGAGAAAAACGAATTTTGACAAGTTTAGACTGCTGGGAATAGCTGAATAACAACTTTCTAAGGCAAGTTCCATTTTTCAGGCATTGTGTGAATTCATTAGAAGAAAATAAGATAGTTCAAAGCACTCTAGATTGATCTTTATGATGATAAATTTTCTGATGACGAAACGTCAAAAGGTCAATTTGAGGATTCTGTCTGACTCAGAATTTCCTCAGGATTTCAAATATGTAAAAATATATAGGGCATTCCATTTAAAAACCGAAAGTTGGTATTACTTCCGGAAAAACGGGAAGTTCAAAAAATTCATGTTGTACTCTTATAAGTGGCATTTTATATCCTAATTAACCATGCAAAATTTCATGTGTCTATCTTTATAAATAAAAAAGTTACAGGGGTCCAAATTATCAGAAAAATGCCTCACGTATTTAATGGATGTCCACATAGCATTAGCGTCTATTTCCTTGTGCTTTACAAATAAACTTGTTTGTCACTGCTGTGCTGCCATCTAACCACGCTTTTTTAAATTAAATTTGACAAACCTTCAAAATTATTATCGACACCTGGCGCCTTACCCCAACTAATTAACTTATATACCTATATTTATAAACGGTAAAAGTCCAAATTCGGTATACCTATGTGCGTATTTACCGCTTGGTACAAGTTGGTAGAACAGTCATTTACGCCACAAAGGTAGCAAAAATGTAATTATAATTTATAAACGCATATTCTTTTTTTGAAAAGTGTTGGGTTGGTTTGTGGGTTTAGTTTTGGTTTTAGTTTTATTGCTTTATTTATAGTATAATACAAAATATAAATTTTATATGACAGTGACAAGGAAGTGTATTTGTAAAGTATAGGAAATAGACGATAGTATCTATAGCGACTTAAAATTAGGCAGCAAGGTTAAAGCATTGTTATTGTAAAAAAGGCAACAATGATATTTTGTTAAATTAAGGCAATGCTTGCCTAAATTAGGAAACATAATGTTAATACCTTTATTTTTTAATGAGCTCTTAACGCGTTTAAGTGCCGCCGCATATCACCATTGAAAATACATCGTTTTTTAGTGCTAAGCAAAAATATGTTAACCCCTATTACTTAATAAGTGCGACAATAAGAGTGCAGGATCTAAAAGCAAACTCTTAATTGAGCATGAATAGAATGTACACGCAATAAGTATTGAGGTTAAAATTAATAATGGCATATTGACCTTTATTTTAAACGCGCGCATAATGCTCTGTGCGCATGCCCGCGCAACTTAATTTCAAATTAAATCAAGAAATGATTTCTTTATTAAGCCATGAGCCCAGTTGTACACAAATAAGCCAAATGCATGAGAAATCACGGCGTGAGGTAATCTGCGAAAAAGCTGAGCTCAGGGATGCTGTGTGGGTATTAATGACATACCTATGTTTGGGAAGATCCATTCAAAAATACATATTAATTTAAGTAAAAATTGGTATATTAATGTTTAATTATGGTTACAAATTACTGCGGGCTAAAGCTAATAATTATTACGATGCGCTGTGACATCAAATTCAACAAGTTTATCCAGTATATAGCCACAATCAAAATTCCCATTGGTAATCCAATAATAAATAATTCGTAGTACACATTCAATTTTGTTATTAAATATTATACATACATATCAAAACCCTTGAAACATACTAATTAATAATTTGAAAAGATAAACAACATGGTGCAAACAATTAAGTTTAATTAATAAAACATTAAACCAACTTACTGTTTGGCCGACATGTATGTTCACTTAAACCACGCTTAATCGACCATTATCACGTTTTAAAATCTTTATGGATACGTTAGTAAATAGAGTACCATGGTCCAAAAGCAAAATATGCCGCACACTAACCTATGCTAAGGCGAATTAGAACATGCCGCAGGGCACCGCTAAATGAAATCATTTGTCTCCGCAACTTGTAACCAACGTGTTGAAGCTTGCGCGCTCAATTCTCTTTGTAATTTATAACTATGGAAGATGTGGTATGATCGATATGGACCATTTATATATATATTTTTTTAACAAAACGTGAAATTTAATATCCAAGGGTGTTTCTATTAACTACTTATTTATGATTATATCAATATATTAAAAGTTGTATTAAAAAATAAATGAACCAAATCTATTTTAATTTTTAAACGTTTAAAATATGTTATTTGGTTAATTTATTTTTCGGGTTAAAATACATGTAAGTATAATACATGGTAAGTCAAATTATTATATGTGACCTGGACTACGGAAAGGTACCTATGGTTATAAATCAAGTTTTCGAGAAAACAGCTGTTAAAGATAACAAGTCGTGTCCGTGCGTCGCGTTTGTATTAGCGCTTCTACCTCTTCTTTTTTCGTCTTACCCTTGTCTCTCCCCCTCTCTTCAGACTTCCATTATACAGTGGTGCTTTTACAATAAATGTTTTTGTACCGCATTCAAGTGATTTCCCCTAAATATCTAATTTTGTGAACGTTGAAAAAGTTGGAAAAATACGTGCTGCTTTTCTTATCATTGTATTTTCGAGATCGTGGTTTTTCGTTGTTATGCAGCTAATTTAAAATTGTTTTAGTTTGTGAAAATGCAGAATGGATTTAGAAGAAGACTTTAAAAGCTCATCCACATCCACTTAATACGCGTAACTTAACTTAACGTACGAGAGAGACGTAAGTTGAAATACATTGAAACCAATGCAGCTGTTTACATTCGTAGAAAACTTATCACACGTAACTTAACGTATCCAAAAGTTGGGTCCAGCTCAATACGTTTCTTACGTGAGCCAACCACATGCCCAGTAAAACGATATAGCGCTATCTCGTTGTTTCACTTTTATAGATAGAGCCAATCACATGCCCAGTAAAACGATATAGCGCTATCTTGTTGTTTCACTTTTATAGATAGATAGGCAACCCGGTCTACATCGATGTCTACATTGCACGTGCTTGTATATTACGTTCTTTGCGTGTATTAAGTTAATGTAAACAGACAACTTAACAGACGTAGGTTTCTTAAGTTAAGTTAAGTTAAGTTACGCCTATTAAGTGGATGTGAATGAGCTTTAAAGCAGTGGAGAAACAATATTTTGCGGATTATGATGAAGATTACGAAGATCAAGGTGGAGGTGCAGGTGTTAGTGACATAAAAGATGACGTTGTACCAGATTCGTCTTTCGATATGTCTCTTCAGGATATTGACGAAAATAAAAGATCAAAAAAAGCAATTCTTGATCTATTTACAACTATTTTCGCGATTTTTATAATTCATGTTGAACTTTAAGGATGATTTCCAGCAAAAGTTTCAAACTTAGGAGTCTGCGGTTTGTTCCATTAATAAATAAGTTAAATTTTTTATAAATTTCGATCAAAAAACAAAAATTGATTCTTCCGACCTTAGGTATATTTCTATAGTCCAGATCACATATATAACTCCGTACTCCATAGAGATACAATGTCATAATTTCAGTTAAACCTAACCTAAAAATGTAAAACAATTCAGGAAAAACACCATTTACAAAATCTTTTATTTATTGAAACTTTCACATTAATTAAAAATTTTGTTTTTAGTATGTTTTAACAAGTTTCCTAGTAAACATTAAAAATCCACAAATTTTTTTACAAGCCAAAGTCATGGTTTCTGCCCTTTTGTTTTATTTATAATAACATTGTAAATTAAAAAAATATCTTTAATTTTTTATTACAGTTGTACATTATTAATTTAGGTATATATTTTTTTGCTATATTTGGAAAATATAATATAATAACTCCTATTTGCCACAAAAATGAGTTGTATATATACAAGGTGTCCCAAAATTGGCGGCCCAAAGGGTAAAAGTAAATTTCTCTTGAAATATCAAGACCAATTTTATTTTACCAGTTGAAGGTGTTATTTTATTTTTTATAAAAGTGCAGTTTTCCTGCTCTATCGGACGAGTACGGGGTTAGTTCTAATGTAGGTAGGCAACCTAGATTAATAATCGGTAATATTGCGCTCTTATTGACGACTTTAAAACTTAAATAACTTCTGCAATTTTGGAAATTCTCAAAAATGGTAAAGAAAAATTCGTCTTGGAATTTCGAGAGGACTTTTACCTTAAAAAATATTTATAGGTATATTTAACTATAGTTAACGTTAATTATACTACAATTATTTTATAAATAGATAGTCTGTTCTTATATTGACCACAAACATTTGTATACCTGCAAGAAAACTAAGTAAATATTTATTAATAATATTTATATACAATAAAGTGGTTGGTTAACATACAGTAAGCGATGAAATTTAATTAAATGGGTATGTCAACAAATTTACAAAAGAGAGAGTTATTGATACTATCATCTAATTTATAAACAGTATGCTTTCACTAAAATATCTAATTTTACTCCTTATAGGGCTTGACATAAAAGTAAGTACCACCAAAAGTAAAATATGATTTTAATAAAAAATATATATATTGTTACATGCCATTTTTTTTTAAATTAAAATGAAAACAATTACATCACTAGATACATAGGTATAGCAAATAAATATCAATAAAAATATAAGATCAAATAAAGTTAATAATTTAATTTTACATATGAATCCTCTAGTATCAAAACCCCTTAAATCCGTTTTGATAAAAATGAGATACATGCATTAAAATATTCCTACCTATCAATGTGTCCATAGAAATGGTTGCAAAAGCCATAAAATATTTATTAAAAAAAAATGAATAAATACATTTCGTGGCTTTTTCAACCATGTGAATGCACAAATTGATAGGTAGTATTTTTTTAATGCATGGTTTTCATTTTTCATCAAAACGGATTTAAGGGGTTTTGATAATAGGGGATTCATATAAGTGCCTATAGGCAGAATAATACCATTAAATGTATGTAAAATTTGCATAAAATATATTTTTTAATTAATATGACACTAGTGACGTGTAGTGTCATTTAAAGCAAGGCAGGTGTTTTTTAATTTGTTTTCTTTACCGTATGCTTTACTACGAAAAAATAGTTTTTTTGTTAATCAAATATCCAACTGTATCATTAGTAAAAATCACAGAACACCATTTTAGAAAAAGAATCACTTTTCAGCATAAAAATCTTAAATGGTTCACTTGCTCTCAAAACATCTTGCAGTTCTTCCGAAATAGAGCATACGTTAACTTCCGCCAATTCCCAACCAATCAGAGAGATTGGGCAAGCAATTAATCTGCAAATTTTACAATTTTTTTGTTTAGTAGGCAATTTAATCGCTCGGAAAAAAAATTTGAAGAAAAAAAAACAATTCTCTTTGTCTTTGTCTTTGGTAATTTTTGTTGAGTGAATATTATTATATGTACGTAATGTCTGATTCCAATATCCGCTTTTTTAAATTAATTCTGTAATAGCAAACATTTAAATCTAGGGTGAACAAAAATTAAGTGCGAAGGGAAAAGATTTTTAGTCATCTTAAGCTTGGCACGTAAAACTAAAAGTAAAAAAATGTTTTTGATGAATTTTGTTAAGTAAATCCTCTACAAAAAAGGTCCTTATAAATTATCGCATAAATATTGTACTTTTAGAGGTAATTGAGATATTTGCTATATAATCTTTAAATTTTAATTTTTATGGGTAAAATCGCATTAACCTCTGAAACAATTATATTTAATAAAAGTTATTAAAATCTTTGCTATTGCTTATTTTGTCCACCACTGCTTTTAATTTTTAATTATTAATTTTGTATATTCATTGCATCTTCAAGATTAATAATTAAAAATTAAAAGAAGTGGTGGGCAAAATTTTTAGTTTAAAAAGTCCCCGAGCGATGGTGCTACCTGTTCATAAGTTTTGGTTGTGTATGGTGTGCTGCATTAATAAAGTATTCAAAATGAAAAAATCATCATTTGCACACGTATTTTTGAGATAACAGCGGTTGATTTGTAAATTACTGCTGTAATTACGGTGGTTCATCGATATTATTAATTATAGGTAGGTATTTAAAGTAATTATACATACACAAACAAAATTCATGCACATACTTCCACAGGAAGTATGTGAATTCATGAACAGTTGGCGCCATCGCTCGGGGACTTATAAACTAATTTATTAATTATCTGCCATATAAACTAACTAAAACGTAACCAGAGACTGATAAACCGGCCTTTAAACAGCTACTGAAAAAATTGTGCATGTTTAACTATTATTTAAAAAGTTGGACTACCAATATTATTGATCCAATAATAAAATTTAGTATTTTCATGAAATGTTTGATTTAAATTAAATTAAATTAACTAAAATCATACATGAAGAGAAAATATTACTAAATAAAATAATAAATATTATTATTAATTGGTCCCAACCACAATCCATACAATCAAAAATAAAATATTAATAATTAATAAAATACAAATACACGTTTAATACAGTTACTGTCATAATATAATGGTCTTTATTATCCTAATAATTTTTATATTATAACTGGTGTGAAAAATACCGATTTTCGTTAATTAATTTTTTCGAGGCGAATTAAAAACTTTTATTTTACCTTTTCATTTTGTTTCTGTTCTTAAATCTTCTGCTAAGGGTGGCGAACGTGGTCCGCAAAGGGTATTTGTGTTGCTTATTTTTCGTCATTGTAAGGCTTGACATTTAAAGGCACGTTTTAAAACACTTTTTCGCAGAAAAACAAACTAAAACACTTCTTTGAACAATTTCACTTTAATCCATATTTCGACTGGTCGTCAACTGGAAGAAACAACGGAAGGTGGAGTTTATTCATATTCTATATTATACGAAATGACTCACTTGCGGCTTGAAGAACGTATGAATAATTTTAATTATCAACTATGCTATGATGTCAAACACGTTTATAATGTAAACAGACTGCATTGCCGAAAAAATGTGAGGCAAGGTTATTAAACCAATCACCGTTCTACCTATACTTCTAGTAAGGTAATAAAAATGCCAGACATATTTTTAATCTTTAACAGGTAAATACCATTCTTGGCATAGTTTAAATATTTTTGCTATCGTGAGGTTCTATCTGTGCAAGATAATAACGTGTAATGTCACTTTACCGCTATATCTACAATAGGTATCTTTAATAAAAACCTCATATGCTGTAAATAGTATATCATGTATCAAGTTTTATAAACGCCATTTTAGTTACGAGATTAATTAGGCACGATCAAAGCTTACGAGCGACTCTTTAATAAAAACGATTGTCTACACTGTTCAAAATTTCATGACCAATTTAACACCATACGTGGTCTATATCGATACAAACCAAAATGGTGTTAAATAAGTTTCGTTGGTCCGGTGTCAATTCAAATACTAAAATGGTGTTAAATAAGGTTCGTTGGCGGTGTAAATTCAAATACTAAAATGGTGTTAATTTAACTTTCACACAGTATTAAAATAAATTTTACCTGGTGTAAATTGAACTCCTTTTCAGTGTTAAATATTATGTTTTTGTGGTAAAATTATCATACTACACAGAAAAAAGGAAAAAAAAGGAAACAGGAAGTTCCTTGACGCATTACTAGTATATTATAGAGGTGGGATACTATCGAATGCAAATAGTTGCGGTGGAAAACTTGCGAATGATATTATACTGTTGTATTCTCAAGTTTTTCGTTAAGTGTTCGCAAAAATTTGCGAAGTATTTGGGATCGATTTATTAAAAATTTAAGAAAATCCTCAAATTTAGAAAAATCTTCTTTATTCGTTTGTTCCCACTGCATTTTAGTTTTAGAATCTAATTTCAAGGAAAAAATGAATATTAGTATGGTGTCCCAAGAGTCTATAGGTTGTTTTAATGATTTTAATGATCATATCAAATTTCTAATAAATTGCGCATTTTCGTACTTGATATTTGATATTTGGTAATTCCATTAATGCTTTAATATGGTTGTATACTAAGAGTTTTTTGTTCTCGTATCTTTGCCAAAGAAGGTCCCAGGCAATTGCATAATTCTCATTTGTTAGTTCCAAATTGGTTAAGATCGCACCCCTGGCAAATTAATTGTTGGAAGTTTTAACTGGTCTTTTATGTTTTCTGAGTTTACTTGCGTAAGGGCACTATGATTTAACCCAGGTGAACTTGAATCATGATATTGTAATTTTAACAATTCGTTTGCACATGCAACAACTTTATATGTGTCTTCAAATTCAGTTATTTCATATTCAACGTTTGAAGCCTCCAAGGGATCAATTTCATTTACTGTATCAACAAAAACAATGTGTGCATTTTCAATGCTGCTTAACCGTGTATTTAATTATTCTAATGGTTTAATAAATTATTAATTTCAGCCTCTTCAATAGCCGCCAATCCATTTAAATTGATAAGCTCGTCCATTCTCTTGACTTTTTGTGTCACAAATTTGAGATTAAGGTATTTTAGCGAGTGCTGTTGACCACTCGTTGCATTGCGAATAAAAATGTACGAATGCGCATAAAAATGTACGAATGCGCATTTTTGCACAGATTCGAGAATCGCATTTCAACTCTATCGTTCGTAAGTTGGCACTTGCGTATACGCAAGTCATGCGAATGAACTCGAGAATCGCAGCTCTTAGAAATAATACTACTATTATTTCTATGCAAGAGCTGTGATCATCTCTCTGTTTTATATAGTCAATGGTTATATGCATGTCATTTGTCAAAATTTGAGAGGAAGGTTATGTCCATGAAGCCTACACAAGGAGTCCGAACTTCATGTATACAAAAATATTCCTAAGATAAGAGCGCGCTGGTGTGATTTTTTGATTTGTACCGAAACGCTACCAAACAGAAGACGTCAATGCGCATAGAAAATCAGCGCCGCTGGTAGTGAAAAAAGAAAAAAAGACTTAATTTTTGCGATTTACAGGGGTTTTGCCAATTTCCCCTATTAAGTTTGGGCTCCTTGTGTGGGCTCCATGGTTATGTCACTGAATTTGTACCGTTTTTTATTTAGTCACGAATTAAGTCAAATAATGTAAATATTTAAATTTTTATGGGCGCTAATAAATTACTTTTTAAATAAATGGTCCTTAATTTTGATGCAGAATTTCTTTTTTCGATAGTATCGATGTATCGATAGTTTTTGCTTAGGTTGTATCGAACTATCGATAGTAAAATTTATCGATAGTTTCCCACCTTTAGTATATTACCAGTGGTATTGTTCCAGAAAATGAAACCTTCAACTCGCTAGAGATAATGTTTTTAGTGCGTTCCACTAACTTAAAATACTTCAAGTATTGACAGCTGTTTCCACCTATTTAAGGTCTCTTTAGTATTGAACAACTTGTAGTGTCACACCAAAGCAAAGGATTACCTATGTTTATATATTCTTCATGTAAGTCAACAGAGGCGAGATTTAAGAACATCACGTGATCCACAAAAATATAAATACTTCTGTGGGTAAAAGGCATAAGGGGATAAGTCAAAAAAAGCAATTTTTCAGTAGAGCCTTAAACGTATTCGCATTAATTCAGGAAACATATTTATGGTTAGCGGGTATACCCTTTTGTTAGCCCATGTCATATGCTAACAAAAGCGTATATCCGCTAAACATAAATATATTTCCTGAATTAATGCGAACACGTTAAAGGCTCTATTGAAATATTGCTTTTTTTAACTTATCCCCCTTATGCCTTTTACCCACAGACTTATGGGTCAACTGGGTTAAATGAACTATTCCTTTTTTTCTGGGTAGGTGCACTTCTCAAATATTTTTAGATAAACACCGTTTTGGTGTTCATTTTCAACCCTAATTCATGGTGTTATATTAACACCACTTGGTGTTGGATTTTGACACCATTTTAGGATTACTTTTTACACCGCAGATATTTTAAACAGTGTAGAGAAGTTTATAAAATTAGTTTATTTTATCTAGGTCGAACAGAAATAACCTTACTTTTTGCAATTTATAATGAAGCTAACTTCAGCCCGTGACTAAAATGCCCAAAAGCCACTGTAGTTAACTTAAGCCCGTGATTAAAAGGCCATAAAGTCACAGCTTGTCCATGTAGGAGTAGAAAATAGTATATTGTGTATCAAGTTTGATAAACGCCATTTTAGACACGAATAAGCGAGTGCTTAAATTAATGAGTGTCAAGAAAAGTTTATAAAGGAGTTGCATACTATACTTCTACGACAAATACTTATTATCTTAAAATGATTTAAAATAAATATTTGTATAGAGCGCCATCTATAAAACAATAGTTATCGTCAAATGTCAAATTTGTATGTGTTAAAAACACAGATTATAAAGGTTATAAATCGAAATGTATTCCTAGAAAATGGATTATCAACAGTTTTTTACAGTGAAAGTGAAGAAAATGTTTTATGATCACTTCACAGTGAAGTCCGAGCCCGAATTTAAGTTATATCTTTTGTATTTTTGCATTGAGATATTTAAATAATTTTCACATTTAGTATTATTTTACAAGAAAGGGACTTTATTTTAACGATTTTATGACATTTGACAACTGTCAATTAACTTAAAACTTCAGCCCGTGACTAAAAACCTGTTGCTAACTTCAGCCCGTGAGAAAAAACCCCGTTTGGACCAATTAAAAAATTCTGCCAGACCTAATCTAACCTCACTTTCTAGTTTTAATAATTGCTATAATTGTACTTTTAATGTACTAATAAAACTATGACTTAAAGATAAAATGTTGTATGCCATGCGGCTGAGAAGTGTATTTTTGTGCTTCGCTCAGTTGTAGGCTTCCGCTACGCGTCGCCATTCAAACTTTGAGCTCAGCACAAAAATACTCACTTCTCAGCCTTACGACATAAATAATAATTTTTAAGTTATTGAATAGTAGTTATTTATTTTTTCAGAGCATTTGAAAGAATTTATATAAAATATATTTACCTTTTTATTTTAAAAATTATGTACATTTTTATCTTAGAAAGTCCAGGTCATATACAATGTACATTTTAAATGTTTAAACATATTTTTTTTAATAATACTGGACCAAAAACATATACATTTATGTTTTAGTCAGTAGTTAGAACGCCACGTGAACTCCGTGAAATAATCAGGCCAATTCACTAACATCAGTCATTAACGTTAGCCACTAAAATCAGTGGTTATCGGCCAGACGGATTGAATATAAGGATAACCAAATTCTAGTGACTAACATTAACGACTCATATTAGTGAATTGGCCTAAATAATAATAAATAGTCTCTCCTAGGTATGAACAATTGTTTCGCTCTGACAATTTGCTTTTAATTCACCATTCTTAACTTAACTGTCAATAGCCATAATTGTCGCTGTTATATGCAAATCCAAGTCCACACTCAAACTTCTTAAAAACCTAATTTTGGACATCGTGTGGATGGATGTCCCATTTTTCTTGATGCTAACCTGACAAGAAAAACGTATTTAGAATTACTACATGAAGAGAAGAGAAGCTCTGGATTAGCCGGCCAAATCTCCAGATTTAACTGATCTACCCTTTTTCACGTAACAGAGTCTCTAAAAGAGTTGCGACAACGTATCGTAGATGAATGTCGTCAAATAACTTCCCAAATACTTCAAAATGTTAAAAAGGATTTTGAACCAAATTTGTATTTTTGTATAGATTAATAAACTTTGTTATACTGCTCTGTTGCAACTCCAATTTTAAATATCTTGAAAACGAAATGATAGAT